CTTCCATCTCTACGTACCTACCTAGCTTAGTTACTGTATTCTTTGAAGTGTTGGTCTTGGCGTCTCTTACTGTCACATCGCTTTGCTCAGAGTAATCATGCAGTGCAAAACCAACTAAATAACCACGTCCGCTGCCAAAACCAACTCCATTCGGGGCGAAAACACCTTCCTCTTCCCGGAAGTACGCCGCAAGTGGTTCGTACTTTGTGACGACTTTCTTTCTCGCCTACTTAGTTGCTTGGCTTTTTCTTAACCTACACGGTGTACAGTAGAAATATCCTACGGAGTAAACTACGGAATAGTTAGTTATTTCCTCGGTGTTATTAATGAATGCCGAATGGTCAACTAACAGAACTAACTAACTAGCTAATTCCGAATTGACTGGCTGACTGCCCCACGTTCTTGGCACCTCCGACTCTGTGATAAGTTGTCGATACATATGACCGGCCAAAATCGTATTTAGCATCCTGAATCTCCTTAGTTAACTGATGCTTATGTGCTGCGTAAGCCCCCGCAATCTGTAGTATAGTATAGTATATTGATATAGTATATTGATGCCCACGGAGTTCTCCGGAAGACTTAGTCAAAGATGAATAATTGATCTGTAGATTTAGATGCTACTATATTATAGGATCGATAGTGTCCACGTGCAAGCGTTAAGAGCCACAGTAAGACCGGGGTTATCAATTGACCATTCACCTACTGTATCTGGTTCAAGTACCTAATTACATAGACGGTGTGTGGTCCATCCATCTACCTGTCCAAAGAAACAACAACCCCCTCCTCTGATTATGAGCAATAATGCAAACAAACCATCTCTCTCTACAGGGTGACTGTATGTACCTAGGTAAGGTAGATAGATAGATAGATAGATAGCGCTTGCAACTGACTCAGTACTTAACCTTATCCACCCTGGTAAATCATATCACGCGCCGTAAGTAGGGTAAATAGTTGCTTAATAGTTTTCCGCCTTAGCCATGTGGCAGATACGGTGTAGATTTTGTTTTTTCTTTGTTCTATTTTTCCTTGCTAGGACACGAGAGATGGTGAATAATAAGGCTAGCTATGCTCATGGATTTTACTCTTGTGAATGCACTGTATGTACAATGTCGATGAATCGAAGATGTTGAATTGCGTTTCTTCATAGATAATATATCTGGAGATAAGTAGTTTCACGTACACACAAGATCCAATTCAAGAATCTCGCTCGCTCGTTCGAAACTTGAGAAAAAGTGAGACAGAAAGGAAGAGAGAGCCTCAAACAAAGAAACCCTCGAATCGAAGAAAAAAAAGATCAAAATCCAAGGCTAAAAAAAAAAACAACAAATCAAGTCTTCCAAACCAATAACAACTCCCCAAGCCAGAGACAAGAAAGCCCCAATTATGGACCTTCTAGGGTGTTTGTCGTTTAAACTTTCACAACTGACTCGTCGGTCTTTCGGACCTTTCCCGCCATTTTTCTCTTCGCAATGCCTCATCGCATCTCCGGGATCGCTCGAATACGAGGCAGGATGAACGGGATACTAAGGTAGGAAAGGGTGTTGGTAGGAAGTAGGCGTGTTTGATGGGACGACGTGGTTTATGAAGTTTTTTTTTTTTTTCCTATGCAATTTCAATTTGGTTTTGTTTTTCTCTTTTCGTTTATTTGCGTTTTGTTATGGTTATTATTCTCCTTTGTTCTTACATGAGACTGCCCCGGCTGGGGTTGGGACGTCCTAATCCAATCGGTCCTCCGGGTGAGAGGAAAGGATGGCTTAATTACATACTCCGTAGGCAAGGAGTATGGAGTATAGAGTAAGAACTGTGGTCTTGGGGTTTTAAATCTACTATTAACTAACCACTACTACTGTAACTAACAGGTTTACCTAGGTGTCATTCGTCACTTATTTACTTTCGGAAAAGTGCATTGATTGAGCGTCCTGTTCGGCGTACGCCGTAGAATAAATAGAGAGGACCGCGATATTAGCCACACATGCGCAGTCAAAAGCGTTGAGAAGAAATGGCCTCGTTCGGTGGGACTATGCGATAGGTCGCGCTCATATTGAATGAGGGATGTTAGATACCTAGTTACCTAGGTGGGAGGACTGTTGACTGTATGTACGACGGTAAGAGACAAATTGTAAATTTTCAATTACTATAAAAGCAAACTCATATATGAGCCGTCATTTTGATTTATTGGCTATCAATCAATTCAACATTGAATCTGCCTTGCTTTGGTTATTCACTTGCCTACTAGCCAGGTGGTCACTTTTTCGTAGGGATAAGTAGGCTATGTCAATGTCAATGTCACCCTGTCCTTCCCTTGATCCTATGTACATCCATACTAAGGTCGATCTATCCCTACAATCCTATCACAGACAATAGAGACAGTCTACAATATACCCAACTCCCCTGAAATGCTGAAACAAACAGAGTAAATACCTACAGTAACTGACCAGGTAAGCCAACCAGGTAATCAGGTAATTAGGTAAAGTGGCTATGTCAGAAACCAAGCTCCTCACGTTCCTGCCCTGAGGTCATTTGATTCTCATCCAAGACCTCGCTAGCTAAATGACTAGGTTCTCAGCCACCTGGCTAGCCAAGCTGGGATCCGATCCCCTTCAGCTTGCTTTGTTTGCGCCTTTTTGCTTGCCGCAGCTGCTGGCTAATTACATGGACTAGTGAGGTCCGGGGTTAGGTAGTTAGTGGTTGAGGTAAGAACTGTACATACTGTATGGCGGAGTTTGTTTGTTCGTTTGTTTGATTAGATTGCCTGCAGGCTATTGATAGATCGCGTAGATCCTGACTCGACGCACATTAGCATGATTTACTACCCTGCCTTACCCTATCTGTACTAGGGAGGAGGTTGAGCTGAGCTGCCCAGGTGGTGTGCCCTGCAGATGCGTAGGCAACGACGATTGAGAAACAAGCTTGGATTGAAATTGAAGGAATGGCATGTTCTATTTTTGTAGTTCGTTAGATGAAAGGATGGAATATCCAGGTGTGCCCAACTTCCCGAGTTCTCATGACTTCTTCGTGCGGGAATTCAATTGAAATGAAACAAAGAGAGGGCCAAATAAACAGAAATTGACTAGAAATTATATACAAATGATGTTAATTTTGCAAAGGAAAAAGAAAACGATGAAACTAGTTTTACTCATCATCCTCATCCTCATCCTCTTCATCCTCGACTTCAGCGTCGTCCGCGTCGTCTTCGTCTTCAGCCTCGCCGAAATCAACGCCCACGTCGCCAGTCAGATCCCAGCGGTCTCCCTGGGCTGCGGCACTGACGTATTTCACAAACTTGAGCGTGCCGCTGTCCCGCAGCACGATGCTCAGTCGGTTCCATCCGGCGGCTGTGCTAAACAGGATCCCGTCGTCCTCCTCGGCCGCGGCGGATCGGTAGATGGCGGCGTCGCCCTCGTCCTCGTCGTCGCCGGCCATGTAGATCTCATAGCCACCCACAGCGGGCTCATCGTGGGTCTCGGAGGCCTCTTTGGTCTGCTTTTTGGGTTTCTTTGATGCCGCCGCGGACTCGCCCTTTCCGTCCTCTGCCTCATCCACCTCATCTTCCTCCTCCTCCTCATCATCATCCCCGTCCTTCTCCCACCCGGAGGTAGGCGTCAAACAGAGCGTAAATTCCAATCGCGGCTCCTCGTGATCGTAGCCGCTGGCCAGGGTGTAATCCTGACCGCGTCGGAACCGACGCGCCAGGTAGTCGTAGTTCGTGATGCGCTCGGCGCCTGTCACAAGCGCCAGCCACTTGCGGAAGGCCGGTGAAGGGAAAAGGTCATTCAGGAGTTCCTGGATCGGCGTCTTCTGGTCCTGTGCGGTTGTGGGGTACTGCTGAAACATGTAGCGCTGTTTGTGCGGCGGTCGTGCGACCGTCCAGCCGGTTTGAGCCTTAATCTCGTCCGACGATTGGGGGAGCTCCGTGCGTTCCTGCTCGGCAATGTACTCCTGTACGCGCGCGGCGAACTTCTCCGACAGGAACCGTTCCAGGTTCAGCGACGACTCGTTACCGAACGTTTCAGACATCTCCTCGGCTATATCAGGCGTGAGGTACGAGGGCGCGATGTACTGCACTAGGAAGTTGAGGTCGGCCTCGTTGAATTCGGTGCCACTCGACACTTCCTCCACCTTGCCCTTGCCCTTTCCTTCCACCTTAGGCTCGGTCTCCTCGTGGCAGATGGTAGGCTGGGGCTGGGGAAGGTCGTAGATGTCGCCGCGGCCCTGGAGCTGAGCCAGACTGCTCCGCTCGGCCAGCTTCTCCTCCAGACCCTCTTCGTAGCCATCTTCGCCCTTTTGCGGAATGTGAAACCAGCCACTGATAGCCATCCGGACCCGTTTCTTGGACTTGTCCTCGCCTTCCTTCGGGTGGTACACCTCCTCGACGTCGTGGAAACTCTCTCCGGGCTGGACGGTGAAGAAGCTCAGCTGGTTAAAAGCGGGCGGGATGCTCAGGCTGTAGTCCGGGCTGGGAACCTTGACGTCCTCGCCATTGGCGTCCTTCTTGGTGGTCGTGGGGTACAGACGCAGGGCTCCACCCCATTCCGCCTGCCAGGGAGTATCGGGGTCGGTCAAGTAGAGGATATAACTGAGGCGACGGCTTCCGATGACATCGTCATGGCACAGAAGATGGCACCCCTCGTTGTAGATGTTGATGGCCATGTCGGTCTTCTTGCCGCTCAGTTTGCCCGAGTTGGTGACGGACGACAGGAACTCACGGAAGCGGGCCGAGTACATCGCATCGCGCAGTTTCAGCAACGACGGCAATCGCGAGAGGGAAGTGTCGTCGAGACCGTCGAGGTTGGCCAGATCTCCGGACTGGAAGATCTTGTAGATGTCCGTCTCCTTCTCGGTGAAGTCGACTTGGGCTTGGATTTCGTCGCGGACCGATCGTAGCAGGGAGGGTTCGATCAGAGGATGAATGACGCCATGTTTGTACCTGGGAAAGAAGCAGCGTTAGCATTGATGTCGCTTTGTGTGTCTCTTCCATCGCGCAGTCAAAAAAGACCCTTTCAGATGACATACGGCGCAGAGTTGGCGTATTCCTTAGTATAGTTCTCCTGCACGGAGGGTTCGAAAAGGCCGTCGCGGAATCGAGCGGCGGCTTCCTCGCTGGACAAGGCCCGCTTCTTGGAGTCGGGCTGACCATTGGCCCCTTGGGGATCTTTGTTGTCCGTCTTGCGCTTCATTCTGCCGGGTGTGGGAGGAATTGAGACTGAGAATCGAATCCAGAATTGAAACCGACTGGATCAGGGAGCTTTTGCGACGCGGAGATTTTTTTTTTTTTGGACAAGGCGGTGAGAGGCCGCGGGCATCGATCAGGCCACCAGATCAGGCCATCATTAACGGCCAATCATTCGACATGGAAGTGTTTTAACGGATCAATTGATTACATTTTCCGGTACCTAGTTATATCTTGGTTATTGATAGTGTGGCCTGGAAGATCTCGATCTGTAATGTGGTTGTGTTGGTGGCAATTTAGTGTGATTTGAGAATCCTACATTTTATACTCCATGGCACTGTATTTAGTAGGTTACGGCTTAGGTTAATTAGTTAAGATAAGCCCTTATTAATATTACTATCTACGCTCCATTAGTCGACACTCCGGTCCCTCTCCCTATACCCCTGCTCCAACCCCTTCCTCTTCTCTTTCATAATCCACCAGACACAGCATTTCACCATGTCTAGCCCCGGTGAACTTCCTTCAACCCTTACAGAGGAAATGGAGCTGTCCGCCCAAGCCAGGGATCTCACCAAATTGCAGAGTCAACTGGCCAGATGGGAGGCCGAGGTCGCTGATGAAAGTGTAACACAGAAAGATCATCTCGGGATCGATCCCACGGTGACCGAGATACTCGATCGAACGGAAATGAGAACCCACACCGATATAAGTAAGCATGTCTACGAACTTCTTACTCGGCTGCTAATTCAGGCTGCGGGGACAAATCAAGTGGCTATGCTGAGCGTCGATTACGCCCATGATCGCAAAGAAGGCCTTGAATGGCAACGCCTTTGAAGTGCTCGAGGTCTTTCTAGATCATGGATGGAACATCAACGATCCCGCCCAGGAGAACCTGTGTCCGACACTAGGGTGAGTTATTCTGAACGAGCAAAAAGACATCAAATCTAATAGCAAGACAGGTTTGTGACTCATAATGAGACGCGGGTGCGCTGGTGTCTCGAGCATGGAGCCGATCCTAACGCGAGAAACAGGAACAAGTACCAGGATGTGCCGAGCCAAGCTGGTCGTTATGCTTCAGTTTCGACGCTCCAGCTGCTTGCTGCTCATGGGGCCAACTTCCCTAGTAGTAATGCTCTTCAAAGGGCTGCTGAAAGTAGATTCAAAGTACGAATGGAAGCCCTCCAATGGCTTCTAGACGAGGCGGGTTTCCTGTCAACCAGCGCGAATTTGAGTGGGATCCAGCTGAGTTTCGCAATTGGCGGAGAAGTAGGTTAGCAACGGCGTTGCACTATGCGGTTCTTGCCAACTTCCCTGAACGTGTGCGGTTTCTGCTGGAGCGAGGTAGCGATATCAATCTACAAGACACGTATGGCCGTACCGCACGGGAGTTGGCCGATACGTCTGGTCGCGAAGAGGTCTTTGCGATTATCGATGGTTGGGGAAAGTAATTGGTAGGCTTTTAGTTAACTAGCTAGTAGTAGCCAATCATGCCAATTATAACAAATCATTGCCCATTACGATCCATATCCATGCCGAAATGATCTCTTGCGTCTAACTGAGGCAAGCTAGTCAAGTATTGTCCCGGCTTGCTGCCAATTTAGACGAACGAAGGCGACGATGGATTCTTGTGACTGTCCACCCGGATGCTGCACTAGGACGAAGCCATTCATTGTCTCTGGTGGCCATTCTTCCACTAACAATTCTCCTTGATCATCCACCAATAGATCCTCCGGTTCGATATACTTCACTCTCTGAGGCATAATGCCAAGTTTATCCTGGACGATGGTCTTCAGTTGCTGGAGGAACTCACCCCCCGTATATTTGTCCGGTTCATGTAGCCTGACGTGCCCGTAGATCCACGCTTTGTCGCCTGTCAGGGCGACCTTGTGGTCATCTATTAGGCCGGGCGAATTGGTATTGGCCCGAGAGATGCCGAGATCGGTGCTAGACTAGTGTCCGATGATGACCCCCTGGCTGCTTGCAATGACCAGACCGGTGCACCTTATGAAGCCTCCGCTGCCAAGGGTGGCTGGCTCCGAGCCAAAAGTCATGAACTTCTCGTCATCCTGCGTGACTCTCGGGCTCATCCTAAGTTCATCGAGGAGACGTTTATACTCGGGGTCTATACCGCGCTTCACGAAGACACCTTTGCCCAAGGAGGTATGCTTGTCATGGGAAGCAGATCGGAAGCTGCTCAAATCAACCCATTAGCTCGATCCGAAAATTCCATCCGGCTAACTTACACGACAGGATCAGTTGGCACAGACAGGCAGAGAGTCAGGTAGGAAAGAAAAAGACGGAACCAGAGCCAGCATCTTGTTTTTCCTGGCCATAATATCCATGTTGAAAGACTACTTGCTTCAGGATGCGGCACTAAATGGAAAATGGAGAGTGGAAGGAGGGAGATGAGGACCAGTTTCTGCGGCGTGTCTACAGAGTTCTCTTTCGGATATTCCTCTGTTTTATAGGATCCTGTCACCACGACTTGGCTGGCTTGAGACCAAATGTTTCAACTGATAGATGGAGCCATGGTATTACCGTTGTTACAAGATAGCATATATATTTGGGGCTCCAGGAATTACGATCGACGCTCATGAGGGTAAGGGTACCAAATGATGCATTATCTATAGAAAGCAAACCCCGTGTTGACCAATCTGTTGGTCAATCGACTTAACAGCACTCTTTCATCCGACTGACCCTTACTGGGTATGTAGCTGCTGCCAATATAGATATATGCAGCGAGGTGTGATTGTTTAGACAAGTATTTAGGATGATAGGGCGCTTTAGCTGCCGCATGCACTTGTCCACCTCATGCCAATTCAGGGTATATATTTCATTGTGCTCTGCATTCTGGAGCAATAATCCACGCGGAGGCGCTATTCACTTGTCTCAATCGTCGTTCATTTGCCTCTTCCTTTTTTTGGTATCAGAATGCTGAGATTAAACATGGCTATCAAGATGCTCTCCGTTCCTGTGTTCCTGTTGCTTCTTCTAGCACAGCATACTGCGTGTCTGCCAGGCAGCTCTCGCGTTCCGTCTTCTTCGTTCGTTCTACAACAAAATAGCACACGGAATTTCCTCTTGACCAAGTCTGTATTTTCTGAAGCCAATTCGAGTACACTGTCTTTCACACCTAATACACCTCAACCATCCAACTGTGCCGATCAGTACGTAGTGTATATAGTTACCTATCTTCATGCGGATCATCGACCCATCTAGATCTTTCCCCCGACCCAGCCAACGACGTCATTGTCCGCCTTGGCAGTCCCCGATTGTCCCAATCGATAACCAACCTCCTCCTCTTCTCTCTCTTCTTCTTTCTCTCTCCTTCATCTTCCCTCAACGTCACCCCCCCCCCCCCCCCCCCCCCCCCAAATCCACCACAATGCAGCCGTCTCCAGACGACCAACCCAATCCGACCGACCGTCCCGGCACGCCTCCCCGCCCGCCTTACTCCCCCGTGACGCCCGTCTTATCGCATCTCGCCCCCGTCCCCAACAACAATCACAACAACGGCACCGACTTCCCCGCATCCTCCGCTCCGTTCTCGGCCTCGCCATCCCATCCCATCGTCCCTCCGCCTGCGCGCTCCCCTTCGCCAACAACACGCATCGCGCCGCCGTCTATCCCTGCGCTTCAGAGTAACGTCAATAGCCATAGCCAGTTCCAGAACCACAACCTGAACCATACCGACATCTCCATCTCCACCCCCTTCTCCGCTCCTCCTCCACCTCCCTTAACATCCACAACGCCATCTCAAACATCGCCACCGCAGCAGCAACAGCAACAGCAACAAGGCCAACAAAGCCAGCTTCCACGCCCCACATTCCTCCCCGAGCCCTCCCCCATCCCGATTTCCGAAAGCGAGAACCCCGACGCGATCGCGCTCCGATCAGCAATCTCCATCTTACAGATGCAGAAGCAGCAAAGCATGCGAGATCTGCGGACACTCGAGCGATTGAAGAAAGCGGCGGCCGCGGATCCGGAGGCGTTTGCGCGGGAACTGGCGGCGGGGAATTTATCGGCGAGGAGGGATGTGGGGGGATTCCTTGGTTTGGACCCCATGAGCCGGGAAGCGGATGATGATGATGGGGATGATGAGGGAGATGTTGATGTTGGTGGTGGTAGAGAGGAAGGAGGGCCGCGTGCGAAATTCGAGACGATACCCACGCCGCAGAACGTCGTGCGCATGCCGCCGGTTAATTGGGCCAAGTATCAGATCGTGGGGGATCCGTTGGATCGCATGCATGAGGATCAGCGACGACGGCCGTTCTCCGGGGAGCCGAGACGAGAGGATACGCAGAGGGCGCCGGAACATGTTCTGGCTTCGCCGTATCGGCCGTTGGTCGACAAGCTGGAGACGCCGAGTAAGGTTAAAGGTGCCAACAAAAGTAAGAAGACGTGAGGAGATCCTGGAAGAGGGGATCTGGATGTAACTGTGGCTGTGACTGTATGATTGTGGAGAGCAAAAAGAAAGCTACCTTAGAATTATGGCACAGTCTCATGTGAAAACAATCCTCAGTCCAGTCCAGCCATAGCTTGTTGGCGTTCGTCATTATGCACAGCCCACAATATGTACGATGCGTATGCCAGGGGGTATGTTACTATCATCAGTGACAGGGTCATCCAGCCCAGAAAGAGGAGAACAATCGCCACGACATGCAAAAATAGGATATCGTACAGATCACCAGTGATCGCGAGGACTTCAAAAGATCAACGCACACCAATCGACCAACGTTACATCGCCCTCCTACTTGTTCTGGAAAGGTTCGATCATCTTCTGAAGGCGCTCATGAGCCTGACTGACTCTCTCCAGCTGCTCCCGCATGCTGATCAACTCATCATCCTTACAAGCGTCCTGCTTCTCGTCCTCCCTGGGCAGCGGGGCTGGGAAATTATTGATTTCCTGCGACAAGTTGCCCAAGTTCGCCACGTGACGGGCCCTGTCACGCAGCCTGGGCGCAATTCGCTTCTGAACATTGCCTCTGTCCGTCATCAGGCGTCTTTTTCCCGCCGTTATGGTTTGCTCGCCACGGACAACCGATTGCGTAAAAGGATAGCCCTGGTGGAGCTCCCCGCGCATTGCGGTGATGGCATTGCTACTGAGACGAACCAAGGAAGCCACGCCCTCGTACCTAATGATCTCCTGGGGTGAAGAAGGACGGATCGTCTAACGGAGCAATTCACAATTGTCAACAACAAGGAAGGCCTCTTACTTTGTTGGACCGCAGTGATAGGAAGGTTCCGGAAACTTACACCGTCATAGCCGATCTTAAACGGAGCGGGAGGACGAGGAGGGAATGAAACGCGGGGCCGGTTAAATAATCTTTTTCTCAGCTTGTCGAGGCAGGTCTCGTCCATCGTAAGGTTTAAGCTGTCCTCCTGGGCCCCGATGTCCTTGCGCTTCGCTGTATTGTACTGGGTGGTTTCTGTGGCAGCGGTTGCGGCTGTCACCGGGGGGTCGTTCTCGATAGAATCAGCTGTGCGTTTCATGTTATCTTGACCTTGGGACATAGGAAGCGGTAGTCTGAGTATTGATAGACGATTAGCATGTAGTCATATACATATCAAATCCGAAGGGGGAAAGAAGAGGATAATGTGAGGCGTTCTCGTGGCGAACGGAGAAGGAAGAGGCAAGTGAAGTAGACACAGTCAGTCAAAGAGAGACACTCAAGTCCACCGAACTTAAAACTGTAGAGGAATAGAATCCTTCTCATAGACTCGACCTGCCCGTAAACAGACTTGCCTCACTTACGCAGCTCTCTTCTTGCGCCGATTAATCTTCTTCGTCGCCATTTCGACGACGCTTCGGGAGCGACAATAGGGTTGAGAAGTAGCCGTGAGCTTGACGAACAAAGTATACTCGTGATTGTTGGTCCAATATTTGTTGGTCCAGGGTTTGTTTAGCTGATGAGCGAACTTCCGGCTGGAAGAAGAGTGAATGCGAAACATAAACATCGGGAATAAATTGACCTCCATAATGATAATTAGTATGGAATACACGTACTGATAGTAATTGGTAAAGTTAAACAGACAGGGAGTTTGTCAGTCGCTGTCCAAGGATGCTGTGGAAGGCTTGGACTTGGTGTTTTGAGAGGTTAAGGAAGACTTTTATTTGTTTATCGTTTATCTAGAAGGGTTTAGATGGTGCTAGTTGGGAAGGAAAGCTCTATGCCGGTGAAAGGAAAGTGCTCTCTTTGCCTTGGTGATAGGCCTGTTGATAAGCAGTGTTAGCTTACATCATTACATGCGAACAGAAGTATAAACACACTGACCAATACTCTCTAACATCTTAGCTCTTCCTGTTCATGAATTCTTGATAACCACAAAAGATATAGTTCTACACATAGCCCGCCATCACGATCTAACACCAACCAAAACATTCATATACATACATACACAAGAAAGACCTATCTACTACCTGTCCCTAGATCTCAAAGCTTCGACCCCCTCTGCTTCTCCCACGCCTCCACCGCCCTCAAACCCTCCTTCTCCACCTTCTCATTCTTCTCCTCAACCTGCTCCCTCCACTCCAAGTTCTTCTCATGACCATCCACAATATCCAACGAATGACGATACATCTCCTCCTTCAAGGTCCCGTAGATCCCCGTCGCCGCCTTCTTAAGCAGTCCTCGCTCGCGAATAAACGCCAAGGTCTCGTCCAGACCGCCCAGCGCGTCCACAAGGCCGGAATTCACGGAGCTCGCGCCGCTGAAGCGCTTCGCCTCGAGCACCACGTCCCGGAAGGCCGGTGGGGTCAGCTTCTCGCGGAAAATGCACATCATGGGCGACTGCAGCGGCACGCCGAATTCGATCTCGTTGATGCAGAGAAAGCCCTTGCTGGGGTTCTGGATTCGGTAGTCGTGGTACATTGCGAGCATGCAGCCGGCCGCGAAGGCGTGGCCATTGAGGAGGCTGATTGTGGGCATGGGATATCTGGTCCTGGTTAGTTTCGCTATAGCCAAGGAAAGGGAAGTCACAGGGAGTAATCACGTTAAGAGTCGTCGGAAAAGCTTCCACAGGTAATTCTCGACGAATCCCTCTGTGGACTGCGCCAGCTCCAGGTCCAGCCCGTTGCTGTAGAACTTGGCAATGCCGCTGGTGGTGATCAGCACGCCCTTGGGGTATCGGTGGTCGACGATGTCCAGGGCCAGCAGGAGCGCCTCGATGAAGACCGGCGTGAGCCGGTTGTCCTTGGGCGAGGTGAAGGTCAGGAGGTAGATGTTCTTCTCCTGCTCCGAGGACGACGGATTACTGCAGACAATGCTGCCGCCGGAGGCGATGGGGACGGTGAATAGAGTGGTCATGGTTGCCGAGGTTTGCCGAGTAGGTTGATGTAGATGCGGATATATGTAATATCTGGGATGTGGTTGATGGGCTCGCGGTGGACAGCTGGGGAGGGTTTATGTACTAGTTTAGACTGGGTAGGTGAGCGTGGATATAGCCGATAGCGAGAGACATGGACGAATGGACGAGGAATAAGAAGTCGGTTGAGGCATTGGAGAAAGTCGTGAATTGTAATCATCGACACCGCGGCATCACATGCAGAGTGCTACATAGCTGAGTCAGTGTATGCATAAAACACTATGCAGGTGTATATTCGATGACGATGTGGGTCATCTTCTATTGGCATGTAAGAGCATGCATTCCCTCTCCTTAAGCGGGCACGGGGAGGGGATCCGGGTTCGAATCCTGGCACCGGCTTTCCCTTTTATTTCATCAATTTCTTCGGGGTCCTATGAAATCACGATGTTCACTTACGATCTGTCTGATATTGTAAACTGATGTAAGAAATACCAAAAAGCCATGAAGTGCCATTCATGCTACCTATTCTGTGACGCAGCCAGCACATTTCCATAGACTAGGCTGTGATTTTCACTTTGTTGACCTGCTGTGTTAGATCTGTACCTTCGTCCAGTATCCTCAAGATGAGGAAATTCCAACCACAGTCAATAGTACCCCATTATCATTCATGAACCATCGCAGCTCTTGATAACATTTATCTGCAAGAACATCCCAGATGACTGCCTGTCCGAACAGCTCATCCCTCTCGCCAAGTCTCCGAAATGTCTCCGTCCACCAGCCAATCCAACTAGTATATAAGACCAACACGAGTCCCCCTCAACCCTAACCACATACCTACGGATGAGCCACCTCAAACACAGTCCAAGCAGTCCACTCTCAACATCAGAATGGCCTCAATCACATCTCCTTCGCACTTCAAGTCCCTCACCCTCTCAACCTCCCATACATACACCTATATCCATCACCCCCCTAGCATTAGCACTCCCCTTCACCCAACAACCACCATCCTCTTTCTCCACGGCTTCCCCTCTTCCAGCTACGACTGGCGCCACCAAATTGCCTTCTTCACCTCACAAGGCCACGGCATCCTCGCCCCTGACCTTCTCGGCTACGGCGGATCCAGCAAGCCTGTATCGCTCGACGCTTACCGTGCCCGCGCCATGGCCGCCGAGATCATCGAGATCTTGAACCACGAGTGCTTGGAGCAAGTACATGCCGTGGGCCATGATATGGGCTGTGGCTTATTGTCACGACTAGCGGATTACTATCCCGCGCGGTTGAAGTCGTGCGTGTTTCTCGATGTGCCGTACATGAACCCCGGGGCGAGGTTCGATCTGGATATGGTGAATGCTATGTCGAGGGAAGTGTTGGGGTATGAGAGGTTTGGGTATTTGGGGTTTTTTGTGAGTGAGGGGGCTGCGGGATTGTTGGATCGGTTTGTATGTTCCTCCTTCTCTAGGAGGAGGGAGGCAAGATAATTTGGTGCAAGCAATGCTGATATTCTCTGTCGCAGGGAGAATCCTTCTTCACGCTCTTCTACCCCGATGATCCGGAACTGTGGATCTCACATCTTGGTCCGACAGGGGCCATGGAGGCGTGGCTGTGTGGTGATTCACGGGCTCCGTTGGCTTCGTGGATTACTGAAGAGGTATGCATATCATCTAGCTCCTGTCAATCATGGTTAGTTAGACGAAATGACAACTAACGCCCAACTAGGAAAAAACCACACATCGCCAGATAATGCAAGATAATCACACCTTCGCTCTCAACTGGTACAGGGCCCTAGTCGGCAACATCAATGTAGAAAATGAACTGCGTGCCGGGTTCAGACCTGCTCTCGAGATGCCGGTGCTCATGGTCAGTCCGCAGCCTAGTAGGCTGGAGTTTCCGGGCGTCGAGGAGAGTATGGGCCAGGTTGCGCGGGATCTGACGTTCAAGCGTGTTTCGACAAAGGGGCATTGGCTGCAGTTAGAGGCAAGGGATGAGGTGAATGGGGTATTGAGGGAGTTTCTCAATAAGGTGGATGGTGTTGATTGATATGGTATCTCAATTATGAGCAGATGAAGTCTAATGGCGGTTTCTGGGCTTGAAGAAATACTACGGCGATACGATAAATTACATACAGTAAAGCTACTGCCTCCCCAGAAAATTGCCAACAGATATGCTTCAGTTCAAGCGCATCCTTAGCATTGCACTGTACCCCCAATCCCCAAACCACGTAGTATATGATACTATCACCAGCAACAGCACGAGCAGTAGCCAACCAAGCAAAGCAACGTACACTGTAACTCGCTAGTCTTAGCTCTAATAGGCCTTACCACATCATCGAGGTCGATCCACCTCGAGAACCAGACTGAGCTAATCAAATGATGAACGTTGAACGCTGAACTTGGACTCGGACTGATGTTAGTGACGTCATGCGGACATCAGGCCTTCAATCTATCGATATCATAGATCACTCATTCATTCTTTCTTCAATCTACCTACACATCTTCCAAACCATAAGAAATCAAGCCATTTCAATAAATCCATTCAATTCCACTTAATCCATCCAAGTCTACCGCCCCCCCAAAACCAAATTCAAAAATGTCCTCATCAACCACCAACCAACCACCCCAACCCCCCAAACAAGCCGCCTATAACGCCCAAAACCCAGTGACCCAGAACCCGCTCGAGCAACGAACCTCTCTCCACGACCATGGCCAGCTCCACCAGGGCCGACGATACGGCGACTCCGTGCCTTCCATAACCCGCGGAGCGGAGTCATCTCCATCTAACCCGTCCGCGCTCTCGCAGATGCAAAAACGCCATGAACAAGAGCGCAACACGGTGCAGAATGCCGAGGAGGTGGATCTGGAGTATGGGGTGGAGCAGCAGCCGAGGGAGGGCGATATCGCGGCGGCAGTGAAGGGGAGACGAGAGCAGGCGGGGGCTCATGCGGGTGCCGTGGGGAGTCAGCCGGGGCCTGGGTATACGAGGTACGGGGAGAAGGGGTTGGCGGCAGATATGGGGAGGAAGAGGGAGGAGCATGATCGGGTGCTTGGGGAGAGGGTCGGGCAGTCGCCGCCGGAGCCGGATGGGGAGACGGCGGAGAGGGAGGCTGTGAGGCAGAGGAAGTTGGAGAAGGATAGGGAGTTGGATGTAAAGGGGGCAGTGCAGGAGGGAACGGGAGATCGAGTTGTTGGGTAGGAAGTAAATAAGGAGATGGAAGGTATAGAGATGAACAGGTCATCGGTATCATATTTGTATTATAATCCTGTCATGCGAAATGAAGAGAACAGAGTATCACCGTCAGAATGTACCATCTATGACAAACGGGGGTATCAAGAGATCAATTAAAGGTCAATATAAAGAAAGAATGAAAAGTAAATCAATCGTCGCCGTCATCGCCTTCGCCCACCGAAACCTTCTTCAAAGACAAGTCTCGCTTCAAGTCTTGAATTCGTTTGGCCAGCTTGCTCTTCAGGATGTGATTCTGCATCTTCTCCCACTTCGCCGTCTCGGTACTGATCAAGCTCTCTAGTTCGGTGATTTCCTCGCGCTGCTGTTGCATCTGTCGTTGTCGCTCCAGCTGCTCGTCGTCCAATTCATCCTCCGGCTCCTCACCGTCCTCACCGTCCGACACGTCGCTCTCGTCGCCAGACGTATCGGCCGCTGGGGTCGACGGTTTGGTCGCAGTAGGTGTACCGGCTTGGTAAACCGCGCCTTCGCTTCCAGGCGCCACGGCTTCGGCGGCCGCTGCCACTGCGGTTTCGCCGTCGGCACCTGCAGCCAAGGCAGCCTCCATCTCGGCAACGAGGGTATCCTCCAGGTCTTCGAAAGACGGGGCCGCCTCCATCGTCTCTTCCAGTTCTCCTTCGGCGTCTTGCTCATCGTCGTATTCATCGTAGTCATCGTAGTCACCGCTCTGGACAAGTCCTTCGGCGCGGTTGAGCGACGCACTATCGATTAGTTCGTAACGAACAGCCGACGCCGAGGCATCGTCCTGGGCGATCAGTTCCTCGACCGCCTTCTCGACCTGCTCGATGGTTCGAGTGCTGGTGCGCTCGCGGAATCGGCGCTTCCGCACCCAGCGCAAGGGCGGAGTCAATCCATGCGGATACTGCAAGTTCTTGCCTTCGACGTGTTCGATCTCGCTAGGCAGCGGATAATCCATGGCCTCCGCGTCGGTGGCAATAGGACCCAGGACGAGCAGCATCTGACAGATATCGGCCGATTTATACCATCCTCGACGATCCCAACTCTTCATGCCCTCCGAGACAGACGGCAAGTCCACCAAAGACGCCGCATACTGTTTGTCTCGAATCTTGATGACAGCCCGTCTGCCATCGCGAGTGAGAGGCTTGAAGGAGAACTCTCCCTGATCAAAACGTCGCTCTTGTATCAGCTTATGTAGATAATCGCAATCATCGCCCGGTGGCATGCGCAGGATAAACTGTTCTTCGATGGAAGGATCGGCTTCCCCGTCCGAGGCTTCAGAGTCGTAGCCTACGCCTACCGGTCTCGTGGGCTTTAGGCTTTTATGCTTGATTCGAATCGACTGCACGCCCGGTTTCTTGGATGGGTTCAATTTCAGACGCTTGGGACCGGCTTGTTGCTGCTCCGCGGCGACTGCTTCCTTCACGACGGGTCCATCGGCGGGTCGCTTCTTGGACGGCTTCTTCTTCTTGGGCTTTTCTTCCTCGGTAGGTTCGGTTGGCTTTCGAGCGATCTTCAGGGTGAGCTTGCGTTGAGGCGTGTCGGATGGAGCGGGCGTCGAGGGAGCGGCAGGAGTTGAAGGCGCCGGAGCGGGCGCATTCTGAGCTGCTTCCTCCGGCGCCTTCTTCTTGCCGAAGGTGAGTTTGAGCGCGGGACGACCTTCTGACATGATAAGCACGCGTCGACTCGGATGTTGAAAGCTCGGAGAACGCGGAGATCGGAGTTCTCCCAGCTGCGTGGTGAAGTTGAGGGGGAAGGGAGGATGACAAGTGAAGGAAGAAGCAGAAGTGAAGAGAAGAGGCGGAAGGCGGAAAGGCGGAGACGAAGACCTTTTGCTTTCTTCCGAACATCAATCAACAACTGCTGCTGCTGCTGCTGCTCTTTCGCTCTCACCCATTGCATTATTTTTGCCTACACTTTCATCTCACTTGTATCATCTCTGAGACTTCATATCTATCTGACATTTCGTCGCACAATCTCCCCAGCGAGGAAAATCTATCACAAAAACCCACTTCTCGCCCAGAATGTCCGGAGCAAATCTACACAACGCCCTCCTTCGTCCGCCCATCATCCAAATCCTACGAGCTGCCGGCTTCCACGCCACGCGACCGTCTGTTGTTGACACTATCGCCGACCTCACAGCCCGCTACATGATGATCCTCGCCTCCTCTGCAACCGCGCACGCCGCCAACGCCCACCCCAGCAACCCCATGCCCGTTCTCGAAGATATTTACCAAGCGTTGCAGGACGCCGGCGCCTTGCGACCCCAGATGCGAGATTGGGAAGAAGAATGGGCAAATGAGGAAGACAACCGCGGCCTGGAGGGCTTTCTATCATGGTTTACGGGGCCCGCCAACCGGGAGATTCGACGCATTGCGGGTTTCGTGCCTAGCGAAGGAGACGTGGTCGATGCCGATTCTCTGGAGAAGGAAGACTACCTGACGGCGTTGAAGAAGAAACATAGCAAGACGGGCGAGGAGTCGCGATATGCCGGCACGGTGCTGGGGAAGAGCGCCGAGGAACATCCGGTCGTGATCGAAGGTGGTGCGCCCAGTATTCAGGAATGGGGGACACAGGTCCGGTCTAGAGCACCTTATTTCGCGGAGAGCGATTCTTCGGCCGTCAGTAGTGCGCCGAGCAGTCTGTCGGATGCGGAGGGGATGGATGTGTGATGGGCGAACAGTTGTGGAGGACGGAGTTGAATAGCTCAACTCCTTGTTCGACAAGACGATCGATCATATCTTACAGCTGTGAGGAACTTGACAAGCTACGATTTCCCGTGACGTCTCTACGGCTGACTTTCTCTCCCTGCGACTTGGGATGTCCCGAGATACATAGGGACGCCCGAAACCCCCGATTCTTCCAGCGCTCGCAGCCATTTCGGCTTCGACTTGATAGTGACTGGAGCCGGCAGATTAGATGGCCGGCTGATAGAACGTCCACTCAAAGAAACCAGCCACATTGCCTTGGATGCGAGCGACTGATCGGTGGAGAGTTGAGCGCAAGACCCGAGAGCCATCGACTGACCTGACTAGCATAACTGCGGGGACCTGTCAGAAAAACGTCAGGAGCAATTAGGATTGCACAAGCACGTCTATGTATCTATTCGCGATTACAGAAGAGAACAGAAGAATAGAGGAGGTAATTCTTAATACCTTCCAGAACCCCACTGCTGTAGAGCGTAAATCTTCTCCGCTCCCGAGCTTCTTGGCTGCGGTGACATCAACTTCCTCTCTTCCTGATCTGCCACCTTCTTCCTCTCCATCATCACCACCAACATTCACCATGGTCTACGCCTTCACCCTCCCCACCACCTCCCACCTCTCCTTCCAAACCTTCATCTCCTCCAGCACTCATCCGTCACTCCCTCAATCCGCCTCGACCGCCCGCCATGCCCTGCGCGCCGCCCTCAAGGCCCATAAACGCCTACCCCGCGGTGCGCAACGGGACTCGCATCTCTCGACCATCATAACCACTGCCTCCGACTACCTGCCTTATCTCCAGGCCATCTCCACCGGCCTCTCCGGCTCTTCTTCCTTTACTTCATCTTCTCCCATCGCCATCACCCAACACTCCGACATCGAGTCCGAGTGGCGCGCCACCCTCTCCTCCCCCGCCGTCCTCCTCTCCCTACGCTCTAAACCCTCTCGCTCCTCTACTTCCTCCGGCCGCGTGCGCCTCCCCGGCATCGACGCCGAAATCGCCTTCGTGCTCATCACCCTCGCCTACGCTCTCTCCAACCTCGCCCACTCCACCGTCACCCGCACCCTGTACGCGCCGACGACCCCAACTCCCGAACAGCGCACCACCGCCATCCAAACCGCCACAAAGTACCTCCTCCAGGCCTCGGCCATCCACGCCTCCCTCGCCTCGCAGACCAACCGCGCTTTCCTCCTCACCGTCCCGGACCTCGACCCCGCCACGCAATCCGCCCTCTCCGCCCTCGCCCTCGCTGAAGCCACCCTCCTCGCCGTCCTCAAAGACGACTCCTACGTCGCGGCGTGCATCCAGGCCCGCAACCCGAACGATAAGGAGTGGATGGTTCGCGCGCCTGAGATCCCGAAAGTCCGTGCGCATTTGTTTGCGAGGCTGTGTATCCGTGCTGCTGAGTATGCGGAGCAAGCGGGTGCCGGGATGGGTGCTATTGGTGGGGGCGAGGCGCGGGGTCGCGCGGGTGGTCTGGATGATGAGGTGCTAAGGTATGTGAAGGTTCTGGGGCGTGTTGCGAGGGCGCGCGCGTGTCGGTTCTTTGGGGTTGATGCGGAGCTCGCGGGGAAGATTGGAGAGGGGATTGCGTGGTTGAGGGCCGCGAGGGGGGCGTTGGGGGTTAGGTCTGCTGGTGGTGGTGGTGGGGAGAGTCAGGAAGGAGGAGCAGGAGAAACGGGAAAGAGTCGGGGATTGTCGAAGTTGAAGCAGGGGTGGATGGAGAGACGGGAGGAGAGGCGCATGGAGAAAGACGCTGGGGGGAGGAGCGCCGAGAAGATCGAGAAGGGGGATCTAGGACCAGGAGATAATGCGGGGAGAGAGGAGGAGGGGAGAGTGATTGAGATGTTGGAAGTGAAATGGGTGCGAATGAATGATACGGTATGTTCTTTCTTGCCAGCATGAAATATTGGACAAGATGATATACTAACACCTCCTCAGATCAACACGCAATTGATCCCTCCTTCAGCAGATCTGCTGGCCAATTTGCCCTCCGGAAGAGATATCCACTCCGCGCCGGCTCCGTACAAGCTTCCATCGCTGGATGAGGACCGGCTGGCCGGGATGCGTGCGCCCCCGGCAGAAGACGACTTTGCGCCAGGCAGTGACGTCGAGGATAGCGAGGAGGACTCTCCCCGTGAGAATGCGCATTCGTTCACGCCGGGAGGGTTACCGGAGCGGAGCGAAAGCACCAGTACTTACTATTGATATTGACATTCAGACCTGAGACTTGGTATAGTGCCCATTGATATAGCCGGTTGATATGTTTCGCATGTGGCCCGATGGACTGGACGGGCTGTTCTATTGTTGGATATACGTGGGCATGGATACTTCGGGTTGAACATAACGATCTACATGCAATCCATATCGTACATACAATCCACACGATGCCAGCCATCCTCACCAGTCCACCTAGATCAACCTAACCTTCAACTAACCACCTCGAACCCACCCAAGTAGATACTAAGCCAAAAGATGTAAGAGAAATTCACAATCGATTCAAGCTAAAAACACAATCAATCGATAGATATACCCACAGAGCAACCCATATAAGAAAACAGAAGAAAAGAAAAACGTAGGAAAAGTACAAATCAAGTTCAAGTTCAAGTCATGCCGATTCTCTAAATCCAGTCCAGGCTCGATCCGATCTCAAATGCAAGAGAGATAGATATATTTGGAGAAAAAGTGGTTTTTTTTTTGTTGATTTCTTGGTAGGTGACGACGGTCTAGGCAGACTTCTCGTTCGAGAAATAGTTCTTCTCCTGGAACAGGTAACCCTTGATCTTGCGCTCGCCGAGGAGTTCGAAGTATTTTTCTGATAGAGAGGAGGGATTGCGTTAGCTTGGTCTTGTTCTGGATCTTGCTGTTGTGAGGTCATGGCTTGGTGTATGCCATTCCGATCTATCCCGGGCCATTGATCGATCGGTCAATCCACCTCTTTCTCTGCTGCTGCTGCTGCTGCTGCTTCCCCGGTTCCCTTCTTCCCTCTTCCTCCGCAGTTGCGAAACCAAAGGATGAACCAGAACCGGGGGACAAAGGAAACCCAACACCCGAAACCCATTGAATCAATCAGTCCTCTGCCCTCTCGCCCTTTCCTCCTCAAACTCGACCCTCTCCAAATCTCAACCCCCCAAGTCCCCTCAACCGGACACACAAAAACGTAGGAAACAAAGAACGAAAAGAGAAAAAGAAAAAAACTCACCCCTCAAAACCCCACACTTCTCAAGATGATTGACGCCCTCGCGCGCATAACACTTGCCCAATTCTTCGCCCACAAGACGAGACATCATGCTGCGCACCCATTGCTCCCGAATAATCGCGTCCCGGGCGTTGTGGACCGCGCTGCTGTCCTCGTAGTCGACGCCGTCGTAGGTCGGGGGCACGGTGGGCTTTTTGGCCAGGAAGGAGGCGGATTCGGGGGTGGGCATTTTTTAATTGGTTTGTTGTCGGGGTTTGGCCTGGGTGTGGTTGTTTGTTTTCGCAGCGGACGAACGGTTGGTGGACTTCGAGGTAGACACTGGTGGTGAAGGAGGATTCAAGTCGGAGCTGTTGGTTTCTGATGTCGTCCAGTCGGAGTCCGGAGGTTAAGGTGGAATTGGGCTGTTGTGATTGGTGCAGTCTCGGGCGGTCGGGCTACGGATGGGTGGGGGGACCAGAAGTGCAGTTTCTGGCCGGAGGGGTTAGTCAGCTCTCACGTGGCTGGTTTTGGATATCTAGTATGGAGTATAGGGAGTATGGTAGCAAGTGGTAGGTATTTACGAGTTGTGAGTCACGGAATCTAATTCCGATCATGATGAGTTTGATTATTAGATGCAATGAAAGTCAAGTCAAGTAGCCCAAACGCCTTGCCAAAGCAACATCATTATTCAGGAAGTTGAACATCAAGCGCAAACCAAGTCTAATGATAAAAGTAAAAACAAAACAATGACAAAACAGCTGCCCAAGTACTCCAAATATCGCCAAGCTAAACCCAACGGGCGGACTAGGGTCAAAGTATTACCCAGTCCAAAACCCAGAGGTGGAATCAATGTAGTAAGACAAATGAAGAAACCGATTGACGTATCGTATCGTTGAATCAGGTGAGGTTAGGTTACCTTACTGCTGCGGCTCTGAACCTCCAGTGATCCGCGTGTAAAGATCCTGCATGTAATCTTCCATGCGCTCTCGCCACGACCGGTTGAGCCAATTGCTATAATCCCGATATTGAGACATCTCGCCCCAGCAGTCGCGGCCGAAATCACATCCCGCCATGTTGACAACAAAATCCCTGCCACCCTCCAGGTAGTGCACATCCGGGTCGTCGCCGTCTCCGCATGCCCCTGGGGGAAAAGAGTTGATGAACCGCTGCGGGAGAAAGGCGAATTTGCTGCGGATCCACGGTTGGGTGGTGTACAAATACTCCAGCGCATCCTGCTCTTTATGCTCCCATTGCATGTGCCTCTGTTCGTACATAACAGGATCCCACCAGGCGTCCAGCAGCCGATCCGACCATTGGGAGCGCTTGATAAAGAAAGAGCCCAGATTGAACCCGCCACAATCTTGTGACAACAGGAATTGGATAGAAGATGGGTCTTGATCCCCGTCAGGCGATCGGGAAACATCGTCAAGGTATGCGTCTGTCGGGGGGTGGGTGATGTTGAGTGGGTTATAAACATTGATGTCGCGGTATGCGATCTCGTCCAAGCGCTTGAAGATATGGTCGGGGAGCGAGTACGAATACTCCATGATCCAAGTGTTAAGATCCAACCACCAGAACCTGAAATCATGAGCTGTCAGTGTACTCCTGGTATGCTACGACAGATCAACACGTACCACTCAGCGTCCGGGTATTTGCGCATGGTATCGCGGATAAGATCAACCTTTTCCCAGCTTTCGCGCCACTCATGCGAATACCGTTTCTTGGCCAGCATGTTGACGATCTCCAGCTCGTACCCCCAGTGACTCGCATATCTCTTCTTGTTCCAAATGCTGCTGCGTTCGACGGCCCATTCGGTGGCTCCTTTCCACTCCATGACACCGCCTTCCACGTTAGATTCGAGAATCACCACGAACTTGTGTCCTCTGCCGAGTGGCGATCGCCGATAGTGCTCAACAAAATCTACCATTAAGAGTTAGCATGCGCAATGCGCAATCCACACCGAGACCAATCGAGACATACACGTCCAGAAACACAGATACCCTACGACCACGAGAAGCAGTGCTAGCAGAAAGCGCAACCTGCGACGGCGCAGCATCGTGCGACCAAATCCATAAGGACGCCAATATGCGCCAGACAAGAAGCCTCGACCGCGATCATAGTATATGTCCTTCTTCTCGAAATAGTCGTCCGGCGATCCAGAGCCTCCCCGAAATCGCGGTAGAGTGGCCGTCAGTTGGCGCTTCGATCGCGAAAAGAATCCGTTGTTCCTTGTCGAAAATGACGGATATCCTCGAACTTCCTCACTTTTCGCTTTGGCGGCAGCCCACGAGATTCCACCCGGACCCAAGGAAGTCGGCGACAAAAGTCCACTGCGCGGCGTTGAGCTTCCACTGCCCGGGGTCAGGCCCGGACTAGACCATCCTGCTCCCGGGTGGGGAGACGGCGATCGCGAGAGGGACATCGGCGGGAAAGGAAGCGACAGGGAGGTCGCCGAGAGACACACGGGCGTGCGGGAGTGTCAGATAGATAGCTTCTAGGCAGCTGTTCAGAGATCTTAGAACTGGCGACGGGTGTTTCAGCGCAGCGGAGGAAGGCCGCGATGCGGAGAAATTAAAGAGAAACAGGCCGAGAAATGAAAGAAAGGATGAAGTAGATAGAAATCAGCGAGAGTTACAAGGGGGAAATCAACCCGACGGAATAGGGATAGCAGGAAGCCATGAGACGTCGCTTGGAGATTAGACGTTCACCGGCAAGGTAAGTGGTCCAAGTTGAAGTGGAAAGGGGAGATGGGGAAAAAAAAATTAAAAGAAAAAAAAAAAAAAAAAAAAGAGGCCGTCCAAGCAGGAGGCCGTGAGCGGCGATGACCGTTTCCGTCGATCGAGGCCAGGGACCAGGTGTGGGACGAACGCTAGGGGAACCGAGAAACATTCAGGTTCAAAGGATCGGAATGAAGGAAAACGAACTCGAGCAGCCCATCTATCTCGTGACAGATCGGCCTACAGGAAGAGGCACATCCTTCCGGCCCATGATCCTATCGGACGTAATCAGAGCATCTGAACAGATAGCAGTTAATCAAAAATGAGATTGCGACACAGCCCACATGAGAATTGGTGGGGGTAGAAATGATGACGCTAAGGCGATGGAAATGAATCGCCCCACTGCGCTTGGCGTTCAGGGACTTTCCTGTTGGCGCCGCGTTGATGAAATGAATCCAGTAGTTTGTTAGGTAGAGAATAGAGATGCTGCCGAAGTCCTGCGACCGAACCCTGCCAAGTCACGTTTGCAGCGAATGCCCTAAATATAAGGCACCTACCCAAGTATAGGAATTCAAGAATATTGATGTATTGTCGCTGACTATTGGTATCAAACTTATGCTATGTATGTCTGTTCTTTTCTTTTTTTTTCTTGGGCTCCTCAGGTTTTCTCCCCCTACTGAACCAGTCCTTCCAAAATCATATCATCGCCATGATGCCGTATGTAACCTTTAGTGAACCCGTCTCGCAACAAAACTCCAAGTCCAGGAGCAGAGATGCAGATAAAAACACATGCCTAACCCAAAACCCCCTACCCGGGATACATCAACAGTAATCAAAATAATTATGTCGTACGTCGTCGTCACACTTCACCTTCGGTTGGCTACTTCTTTTCATTGCGGTCTTTTCTTCCCGGTTGCTGATTCGTGGCCACTTCCTTCGGCATCAGGACCTTGCGCACGGTAAACCCCCTTTCGTTGTCGGGCCGGCGACAGGCGCTGTCCCCGTGGTAGAATTCACATTCAAACCTTAGAAACTTATTGCGGTGCTGATAAATAGTAATGACATCGCCCGTGTACAGCTTGCCAAAATTGAACGCCTCTCGGCCGCTGTTCCCCTCCGATCCCCGACGGAGCTCCGTGCCGTTCACCCAGATACATTTGCGGGTCTTGGTAGAAAGGATCGCCATCACGTTAGGAACGGTGGTCCAGGCTTGTCCGGCCGCGATGCGGTTCTCGATAGCTGGAGCCCAGAATGTGACTTCTAAGGCGTAGGCAGGGATCCGCGTGTCCATGGGGTCTGGGTGACAGACCGTGGCTTGGGGCCCACGGCCCCAGGAAGTCATCCGATCTTCCAGGCGAATCGTTAGGTCGAAGATCGAGCCGGGTAGACTCGTGAGTTTCCCTAGGAGAGGTCGCTCCTGGTGCGGCTGGATAATCACACGAGGGATGCCGGTTAATGCATGTTCGGGGATGGGCTCAGAGGAAGGATCGCGATCTTTTCGCTCTTGCAAATCAGGGAGTTGTTGTCCAGTTTGTGCATCTATCGTATTGGTCAATTCGATGTCGAAAATCTCATCCGAGGCCGACTGAGATCCGCCAGGGCTGCCCTTGGTGTTCTGTGCGACGGTTTCGGGACTTGAACGCTCACTAGCCGTGTCAGGGATGGGTAGCTCAATGCGCCGGCTGAATTTAGACGCCTTGGGGGTATCGTCGCCCTCACCAGCAAATCCGGGTGCCTCCGAGACGTCATTGGCAATGGGCCGGTTACTGGCTGGCTGCGCCGGTGCCCCGACGGCTGGGGGACGGTTGGTTGATGTTCCAGGGTGCCACGTGGAATTCATGTTCAGCTGCCCAACGAGATTCTCAGCTCCCATCAAGCTTGGTGCGGATCCGGCAATGGGGTTATCCGGGAGGGATAGGACGGAATTGAGGCTCTTGCCGTCGCTGATTATCGACTCACCGGCTGAAGAAATAAAATCATGGATGCTGAAGTTGTCGTCGCCTTCGAAGTCGGCGGGGTCGGCCCCCAACGCATGCGAGCTCTGCAGTGCAGAACGGTTAATCTCTCCAAACAGGCGACGAGGGGTGGAATCATCCCCTGCCTGAGGTTCCTTGACGCTTTCGATGTTTGGGAGAGATGGGTAGCGGATATCCGTCGAAGGCTCTTCGATTCTCGGCCGCTTCGATTGCGCCAGATCTCCATCTTCTTCCTCGGGATCTTCCGCATCCTCGTCGTCGTGGATGGAGAGTTGTGATGCGTCTAGCTCGTCTTCCAAATCTTCACCGATGTCAGACAACATCTCGGCACCGCTATACTGGCCATCATCATCTTCATATTCATCCACGTCCGGAACATCGGCAATCCATCTGTGCTGAAAGCATTCCCGCTCTTTCGGACGATCCTGAGGGACGCGGTTCAGGAGCCGGGCAACAAAATCAACGCCAGCCACTGACACGTCTTCCTTGAGCAATAGATCAAAGTCTGCCTCGGAAGTCATGATATTTCGCAGCATCTGAGCCCCTCTGTCATCGCCTCGTCCAATGTACGGGGGAGTCCCAGCAAGTACATGGTAGAGAACGGCACCGAAAGACCACATGTCGACGGATTGGTCATAGGGAGATGTTTTCGGAGGTCTGTCAATTTGTTAGGCCTCGCTCAGAAATGTTGAGTAGGCAAAAACTCACGGGTCACCTAGTCTGCGTCTCTTCCGGACTTCACCGCGGCGATAGTGCTCGTACTCCGGGTAAACCTCAGGAGCACAGTAAAGCAAGGTACCACAGAAGGTTTTTAGAAACGTTTCCTCCTGGACCACCTTCGAGAGGCCAAAGTCTGACAACTTCACCCTTAGCGGATCTAGAGACGAGATCAAAATGTTGTCGGGCTTGATATCCCTATGCGTAATTTTGCGCTTGTGGAGATACTGCAGCGCGTGAAGCATTTGGCGAGCGATGACCTTGACCATGTCTTCGTGAATTTTGCCACTAGATTGCAGGTAGGTAGAAAGCTCCCCACCAGGAACATACTCCATAATGATATAGATCCACCTGTCATGCTCATGGTGGTCGATATATTGTACAATGTTGGGCTTGTCGCGTCAGGCTGTTAGTCACACACATTCACCCAGAGAACAGTAGCTCATAGAACACTCACATGTTTGAGATCTTTCATAATCTTCATCTCGTTGTCAACTTTGTGATCAAGGATACCGTTCTTCATGAACCGACGCTTGTCGAGTTCCTTCGCCGCGTACACAGCTCCATGTTGTTTCGTGGCGAGTTTGTACACTGTTGCGAAGGCGCCTTTGCCGATTTGACCAGTAACGTTGTACGTTGACCCACCCGACCAGTGCATTCCATATGTATTAGGGCCGGACGCCCATTGCAGGACGGGCTGAACTGAAGCTTGTCGAGGTTTCGCCGCCACGACGCCTGTCTGATGTTTTTGGATTCGCTCAAAGTAGCGAAGCAGATTCTCTGTGTACCGCATGGAGAACCCTTCTCTAGACGGCAAGCGGACCACGAACCTGACCTCCTCCGAAGCCTGATCGCCATTCATAACTTGAATGACAGAGCCGTTGGTCAGCATCCGGCTGTTGTCCTTTTGACTCTTTCGGAGGCGGCAATTGTCGACAATCGTGCCGTTTGTCGAGAGGTCCTCGAGCATGACTATCCCATTTTCCGTGATGTGAACGCGAAAGTGCAGGTTAGAGATACGTTTCGAGTTGGGGTCGGCAGCAAGCAGAAGGTCGCAGCGAGCTCTGTTCCGCCCAAAAACAAATCCTTGAGTCAGGTCACGAACATTCGACGATAGTCTGAGAGCAATGTCGAAGGTCGCGATGTCCACAGTCTCGTATTCGAGGTCATCTTTTTGTAGGATATGCTGGGGACAAATATCGGCAGTGGCTGCCACTGCCTGGTGGGCCGCAGGCGAGCTGGGATGCAGGATGCAGATCGTGTCTGACAAGTCCTGTTCATGTAGGCCCGAATTGTTGTAGCCCATGCGACGTGGGTCCGTGCATGGCTGGGTGGATTCTTGGGTCGCCTCCATTGGGAACGAGCAGTGATGGAATGAACCGACCAAGACTATCTACCCTCACAAACCAGAGACAATATAATAGATAGCAGCAAGAGGAGTGCCCCTCTATGCCTAACAGGGTGCCGATAGAAGATATATGGAAAGGCAAAGAAACGGCGGAATAATCAACGCGATCGTCAAGCTGTCTCCATATCACGTATGAGCCTGTGCGACGGTCAGTTGTCTTACCATGGTACTCAGCCAGCACCCGTGATAGGATCAGATGGCAGCTTTACCTTTGAATAAGAATCGATAAGGATGAAAAAACCAACTGCAGGCTGCAGCAGCCAAGTGGGATGGTTTGACGGGCGCCTAGTAGTGAATACTCGACGAGGAATTCGCTTATGTGCAAGTGCTATAACCCAAAGGAGGAAAAGGTTTATATTAAGCCAAAGAGCCAGCCCAAGAATCGTCAAAAGAAAAGGAAATTCCAATGCGGGAGTCCTATATGTTGTGCTGCGGCTTCGAGTACAACCAGGATTGTAAAAGTACACTCGACGGCTGGGCCACCCCTACTTCTGATGGCCAACCCTTAATCAAAAAAATACGGCACGTGGTGTCATGGGACGAGACTATCGAAACAAGGAGCGACAAAAGGAAAGGAGCTTTGGCCTAACGAGGGTTGAAATAATAGCTATGTCTGCAGGGGAGCAACTTGATGGTTAGTTGAGCTCGTGGATAAACAGAGAGAGCACAGGGAGCTGGAAACTCACACAGTTGGCGAACTCCCCATCAACCATCCACTGCACAATCAGGGAATACAATTGCTGCAATAGGACCTGTTTGACGGGGGAAGCCGGCAACGGTGGACGGGCTCGAAAGACGGACAAGTCTGGGAGGAAGCGTCGTCCGAGAAACAAGCAGCGAGGCTGAACCGAACATCGAAGTTCCGCGTTATTAATTTGAAGGTCGCCTGGCAGCCTCAGGCAGAAGCAAGGCACCCACATACTGCGTGCCTGAGGCTTCAGGCTTCCTAGCGCCCTGCCGGGACTCGAGCCAATGAGCGCCCGACCCCGCCGGGAACAAACGGCAGCCTTCCATGGATACAGAAAGGGATGATGGAAGCTTCAGCTGATAACTCTCTGGAGCTGTCTCGTTTGAGAGTGCAGTATCACGTATTGGGCACGTTTCAATGGCTAACAGGTGTGACCATATGTCATTTACAGAGTCATCATCAGTCAAACAAGAACTAGGTACTACTAATTATCTACTTCCATATGGCTTACTCTGGTCGGTGCTACGCTGGAACTGCCCACTCATAGCTGCATCGAACGCTTGTCCCAGCCGCGAAATCGCTTCCTCGGATACCTCTGGTATGAGTCAGAGTAAGTCAGGCGATTCCGCAAGGGTGGTAAATGACGGGGCAACTTACGGTAGTGAACGACGATTCGACCCCCTAGCAATTTCAACCCCTTCTCTTTGCCAATGTCCGCCAGATCATTGGGCCCTAATCCGGATGACTCAAGGTCTAACCAGACCATGTTGGTCTCCACGGGGAGCGATAGCTTGCCCCCGCGACTTGTCCACATCTCGGCCACTCGTTTGGCGTTGACGTGCGTTGCTCGTAGTTTTCCTTCATGCCCGTTGGGATCGGGTCCAAATGTCTCCTCCACAGCCACTCGGGCGGCTGCAGCGAGTACCCCGGCCTGTCGGACACCTCCACCAATGGATTTGCGAAACCATCGAGCTTTCTTGATAAATTCTCTGGATCCCACAATGATGCTGCCAATGGGGGCGCCGAGTCCCTTCGAAAAGCACAAGCTAACGCTGTCAAAGAGACCGGCGTAATCTGGTAAGCTCCCAGCCCCTGACACTACGGCTTCCCATAGTCTGGCCCCGTCTAGATGCACTTTGATGTCGTTCGCATGGGCCCAGTTTACAATCCGACGCGCCTCGTTCAGGGGCATGATCATACCGTCCAGGGTATTCTCCAGGCTAATGAGCTTTGTGGGACAGTGGTGGATGTCATCGTCAAGTACGGCGTATTTCTGGACGTCTTCGAGCGTAAGGTATGCGCCATTCTTGGGAATGACTGGCTGAACCATGGCGCCAGTGAGTGAGCTGACACCGCCGGCCTCGTAATTGACAATGTGGGAGCGTTGGTCACAGATCACCGCATAGGGAGGTTGCACCAGATGGGTTCGGATGGCAACCTGGTTGCCCATCGTTCCTGACATGACCAGCAGGGCATCCTCATGATTCGTTCGCTTGGCCACGTAGGACTGTAGATCAATCGTTACGGGGTCTTCGTTAAAAACGTCGTCCAGGAGAGTCGTCTGGCAAATGGCTTCCAGCATTGAGGGGGTGGGTTTCGTCATCGTGTCACCTTGGTTTCCGCCGCAACTCAGCATCATCAGCGAAGAGATAGATTTTTGGTATGACCCAGTGCTAGTATAACTCACTCCTCAAATCAAATTCGGCAGCACCGGCCCCGTGCCAGGCGCTAGGTTTGGCATTCGTGCCATTGGAGACTGTGGATACGTGCGCCATGATGATGTTTGGGGCGTATCTGAATCTCCGGAGGCAAGAAGTCGGCCGAGGTAGAGGCAAAGGCCGGAGGAGGGTACGAAGAGAGGAATTCATCAAGCGACTAATTCGAGTGCCACTAGGACCAGGAAAGGATTGATGAGGAGAGATAAGCCCAGCCAATGCGTGCCTGCGGGGTAAAGCCCCGATTCCGAAAACGCTAGTCTAGAGTGGGTAAGGTCGGCATCTCGTGGTCGGAGAACTCCCCGATCAATCATCGAAGGACATCTTACTGTGTACACCGTGCATTAGATTAGCAATATGCAGATTACAACTTAGTCTCTCAGTTGATTTTGAGTTAGATCTTTGTCTCGATACACGCCTTGACGTATTTGACCTAATAACCTTACTGAGATGCACAACATACTCGTTCATGGTCCAGTTCGTTGAATTGGCTTCATTGATCGAATTTTGATCGCAAGACATCATAGATTGTTCAGACGCCACCAAGTGAATGCCGGACTTTGTTTCTGCGGACTATATTTGAAAGAGATGCTAAATCATGAGCCACCGATGCGATGGCAGAACTTGCGACCATTGGGTTAGTAGCCATGCCGTAAGGGCGCAGGCTGGGAGCTACTTGATGCGTCATTTTAGGATTCTCCTCATCCCTGAAAGATGGTTCATGCTCGTATCACCTGCGTGGGAGCACTCCGGACTAGGGCTGAGCCGGAGTGCCTGAGGCGACAGTCGGCAGAGACACGCCACGTTCTGCCGAGAGAGCATGGAGAAGGAGGCACGAATGACGACAGCGAAACGCGCTGCGACCGGTCTTACCCAAGCCCCAAAGAGGCAAGCGCGACCCGCCAGCGTGTCTCCGTCGGCCGCTGACTCAGCAGTCGAGATCCCTCTGGACTTTTGCGGGCGCCCGTTGAAGCCTTGACCTCATCTCTTATCCCGTACATATCGCTGGTGGCGCCTTGCAGAACGATCGTTGAAACAAGAGTCCTCTCGTGGGTTGCTGACCCCTCCCACCAAGGATGGATCTCTCCAAACTCACCCGTCCGGCCATCCTCTGCCAGTGTTCTCGTTGTTCGAGTTCGCTGGCCGCCCTGGAGAACGAGTGGGCGAAATTGTCGAATTCCTATTCCGTTGCGGCTGGATGGTTGAGCGTCGAACTGCACCGCATTTCGATTTCCTCGGAGAAAAAGCAGGTCCCGCAGTCGTCAGATTTGAACCTCTTGCGGGGCCGGATCCTGCAGGAAGTTGCCTGTAAACTCTGTCAGCAAAAGTTGGGAGTATTGTGCGCGCTGGACAATGGGTAAGTGGAAGGCGAAGCCGAAATCCTCCCTATCTCTCTTTTCGCATGCTAACAACCAACCACGCAGTCCCAATGTCTTTTGGAAGCTGTCGAAAGTTTCCTTTAGGGAAATCGTTACGATGCGCACGGTAGAGCCTTCCTTCAAGGAGGGCGCTCTCGATCGTCTGATGAATGCGACACCCAAAGAGCCAGCAAAAAGAGACCGAACCTCCATCCAGCCGGGGGCGCTGGTACCGGCCGGTGCAAACGAAATCGACCCCTACAACGCGTCCGTGGAACAACAGATTCAGTATCAGGGTGTCAGCATCGACAACATTTCGAGCTCCGTCAATAATCTCCACGATACCATGTCCGAACTGAAAAATGCTTTCACAGCCCTTCGCATCGAGCTCAATGGCCCGGGACAATTCCGTGAACTGGGCAACCCTTCTGGCCACGACTTCAACATGATCACAACTGTTTTACGCGAGCTTAAATTCAAGTCGGACGAAATCGAAAAACTGAATTTAGAAATCGAGGCGCTGAAAATGAAGAACCGATATATGGAGGAACAGGCTGGGAGGTTGCCGGCGCCTTTGCCACCGCCCGATGAAGCGATCTCGCAGGTGCGCAGCCCCGCTATACTCCATGGAAGCAGGAAACGCCCATTGCCGGACTATTTCGAGAGTGGTGGTCGAACACATCCGATCGCAGACTCTTTCGACGATGATGATGACGACGACGACGACGACAACGTTAGCATCGGTGATTTTTTAGCTGAGCCAAGTATTGCACCGGTGAAAATTCCTCTCAAGGAAGCTGAACATACGCCGGCTGCCCACACACCCCTCGAGCCTACCTCTATCGACTCCGCGAACCTTCGGATTGAAGTCTCACAACCACAAGGTTCGACTTCGCACCCCGAGACACCTACTATCGCCGGAAACACACAACAGCAGGCAGTCACAAAGCGGCCTCGTGTATCTCAATCTACGGGCAGACCTGCATCTAGCGGGACTGCCGCCGAGAAAAAGAGGGGGGCTGGTCGTCCGCGGAAGTCCATCAGCCAGGCACCAAACCTAGATTTTTCTGAAAACCCTAAACCCACACCTTTGTCTGAACAGAACGGAAATGCCCTTGGCAGCAATCAGATGGAGAATCCACCCTCGAATCAAACCCCCAGCGAGCCTTCCAGTGCCAAGGAAAACCGTCCTGGCAGGTCACGCAGCTTACGCAGTCGGTCCCGTCCTCCATCAATGGCCTCGAGCAATCGAAACGGCCAAACTGGGGGAACCGACGCGCCGGAAATGGCACAAACGCCTACCGGTCCAGAGACTAGACAGCAAAACGGGTCAGGAAAGAAATCTTCGTCGGCGAGGTCAAACGGTATTCGCATCAACAGTGAAAATCTACTCGATTCCGAGAAACGCAAAGCACAGGTTGCTACGCGAGACGCGATGGCACGATTAGCCATGCAGCGCGAAGAAGCCATGGAAACTGAGGAAGCTAGGTGACATTTTGACTTTTCTCAATGTATTATTGACTCTTTTTCTCTTTTGACTTTTGCATCCCCTTCGACTCCAAATTTGGACTCTCACTTTTATTTTCTTGTGTGTGTGTGTGCCCTTCTCTTCATCTTGTGTCTTATCTCCATGGGATTTATTTGGGATGCATCTATTTGGAAAAGCACAAATCCCTCGACATCTGTTTTCATCTGTCTGGCTTGATCTGGCTTACTCTGGGCTGTTTCCATCCGATATTGAAACTCACCTGGGGCGTTTGCATAGTCCACAAAACATTAACTAGGTATATCATCGACAGAATATAGAAAAGGAATCAGGCTAGTAAATGAAAGCCATTATTCACCATTGATTCTCCAATAGACAATGGCCTGTGTATGGGCCAAATATGTTAGATTGATATCTTGCACAAACTGTTCACTCTACCCGGTTTTATTGATCATTGCACTCTCACCACTCTTGGGTAGTTCTGCATCATACCCCATCTCTTTCTTACTTATATACTTGCTCTTGTGTAGGCCTGCTACTATGCATGCGCTTTCTCACATGCAGACTTACTCTATACACGGGCTTATCCTATGCGTGAACTTACTCTTATACAAACTGACTCTATAGGTTGACTCACTACCCCCGTCGGTAGGTCTATACAGTAGATTACTACCTACTATGTAGGCTTGCTCTATGTGTGGACTCGCTGTATACGTAACCTTACTACTACGTCTGAACTTACTCTACACGTCAACCTATTATGCGTAGACTTGCTATTATGCGTCAGCTTACTACCCCCATTGGTAGGTCTTATTTTATATAAGAAAGTAAGAAGATGATAGTTCAAGTGGCTGTTGAATAAAGTGAATAGGGCGCGCAGTTGCACTGTCCAAGATGCTTGTCAAAGACATACATACATACATACATCGGGCTTCTTCTAGTTACAAGAGATAATCGAAATATGCTCGGAGCACGCGAGACGCTTGAAGATGCTCTTGTTTGAGGTCTCGCTGGTGCCCCATCGTTCGCCTTTCTCGCCTTTCTGTTTAAACATCCCGCATGAGCACTCGTCGCAAAATATCTTATGCATGGCCTGCAGACGGCTGACTTCGCGTGAGTCTCCCCGGTGCCTGAGTATACGACGAATAAGGTGCAGGGGGGCAGAGAGGTGTAGACATGCTCGATGTTCGAGATCGTGCATGCCACCATGTCCGAGAGATCCTGCAGGTCATCGGTGGTGCCTAAGCCGGTGCTAGGCGTGGGTTCTTCGTCTATTTCACACACATAAACCCACATCCCGCTCGAGCCCTCTCGCACGCTTTCTTTAACGCCTGCTCTTCCGTATCCGTCCATTTCACACTCAACTCGTCCCACGGCTTCCGGGATTGGTATTCGTCGCGGAATGTCTTATGCATAGCCTGCAAACGGCTGACTTCGCGCGGGTCCCCGGTGCCCGAGTACACGACGAACAAAGTGCAAGGGGGCAGAGAGTCGTAGACGCGGCGGATGTTTGAGGTCGTGCGCGCCACCATGTCCGAGAGACCCTGCGGGTCATCTGTGGAAATTGGGCCGGTGGTGGGCGTGGTTTCTTCGGGGGGAGGGTTCAGGGTGGTGGATTCGTTGGCCTTGTTGGGATCGGGCATGCGGTTGCACCAGCCGCGGTGCATTTCGAGCTCGCGCATGCGTCCCCAGGTGAAATCGACGCCGTCACCCGGAATGGAGGCGTTAGAGGCGTCACCGTTCACGACAGAGGAGATTCCACGCGCGACTTCCTCGTCGTCGCTGCATCCGATCGCGACCGTCGCCTGCGATCCGAAGCCGCGTTCGGGACTGCCCCAGTCGACCACGGCGCCGGTGCGGCCGGCGTCGTTGCCCGTGGAGGACTTTCCAGGCCGGGCAGAGCGCGCAAGACGCTTGAAGATGCTCTCGTTTGAGGCCTCGCTGGTGCCCCATCGTTCGCCTTTCTCGCATTTCTGTTTGACGAGGTCAAGCACGGCGACGGAGTCTTCGATGGAGTCGTGGCCCGTTTGGCCTTTTTGGATCTCCTTGCCGAGGTATTTCTGACAGAGCCATTTTAGGCTGCATTTCAGCGGTGGCCCGCGAGGGTGCGGGTAGATGAATGTGGTGTCGACGATGAAGGGATGAGTGAGTTTAAGGGCGGTCAGATCGGAGTTCAGGGAGTGGCCGACAAGAATCGTGCGTGGGGTAAGGATTGAGAGAAGCTTTTGCTGGATGTCGGCAAGGGTGGTTGTGACAGGATCCAACTTTTCTTTCGTGATTCCAGAAAATCGGGTAAGGTAGTCAATCACAGGTAGCTGCGGTTTCACGAGCTCGTCGAGCACGACTTCACCGTCCCAGCGGATCAAGCTAATGCGCGTGAGTTCGGAATTGCCGCCTTCCGTGACACACATCTCACAGTCCATAGCCAGGACCTCCCGGCCAGCTGTCATACTTCCCTGCTGAATCTCTGCTTCGGGCACGTTGCCCTCTTCAAGGCTGTTAACGTCGGTGTTTACCCATCCATCCTCAGCGGACTGGCCGAGCCGTTTGCGATTCTCAGCCAGCTCAGCCTTCTCACTTTCTGTCGCAAAGAGAGCCGGGTGGAGAGGGTAGTCATTTTCACGGAGGTCCTCGAGAGTACTAATAAAATTGGTAATAGGCGTTCGTTTAGGCTGAAAGCTCTTGTCCATCTTCGCCTGCTTCGGGCCCTTGGTACCGTTGCTTTCCTTGTTTTTCGGTAGAGCGGACAGCAAAATTGCCTGGAGCGGAGAATGTACTCGGTTGTATTTGGAATCCCCGGGAGCTTTTACCGGCCAGACATGAGGGAACAATTCGGCCAAGGGATGCAGCGGCTCCGGTAGGCTGTCGCGCGACAAGGCGCGGGGATTAAACTGACTCGATCGATCCTGCGGAGGAAGTCCCTGTTTCCACCGTTGAAAGTCGGCCTGTCTGGGATCCTGCTCCGTTTCCTCTGTATCCATCGCGCCCCCCTGCTCCGGGGCGTCGGTGTCCGCCTTGTCGTCCTTCAGTGCCTGCAGGGGGATTGTCCCATCGAACATACCCAATTCCAAACCCGGAACCATCAAAACCACGATTTTCCGGACACGAGGCGAGTGCTTGATGGAGATCCACTGCGGCGCGATGCCATCGGCAAAGCAGTAGAGCAATAGATTCTGTAGGTCGGCGATCCGAATCGAGGATTGAAGCTTGCCTTCAACGTACGTGAGCTGCGGGTATTTGGTTTTTTCTCCATCTATTCCCCGTTTTTTGGTAGGCCTTTTCGACGGCATATCGCCCCGGTTCTGCGCTTGCGCCGCCGACTCGGTGTCTGATGCCGGGCCATTGGTCGACTGAAGCCGAGACAACGTCTGCCCTACTCCAATTGAAATGTCTGTGTTCGAGGGGCCTTTGACCGGGTCTTCATCATCGGAATTTTCGGCGCCACCGCGCTTGCGCTTTTTTGAGCCCATGTCTGGGCTTGCGGCGACCATTCGGTGGAAATGGCTTGAATGGCCGGTTAGAGATGGTCAATTCTAGCAGAACTCTATACAATGCACTTGTCGCGCCTAGACCATACAGCACGTTCAGGGATGATCCGACGGCTCCAGGCAAAAAATCGGTCGCGCAAAAGCAAAAGCAGGCGTATTGCGCGCAGAAAGCAGCGTTGCCCCGGGATGCCAAACGAACCAACTTTTGTAGCACGTGATGATAACGATAACAAGGTTTCCGGCCTTACCGGATTGGGCCATATATCGCGTGGTCGCCTCAGGCAGGATTCGCAGGGATGGGGTGTCTTGCTTGATGTGGTCATGTATTCCTGCTGCTGATAGTACTTACCTACTGTATTTGGCCTTACTACCTAACTACCGAGGCACACACTCATACAGAAAGATGGACACCGTGTACAGTCATTCTCCGTCAGCAGCGATGTCGGCCTGACAGCCTGAATCGTGCCCCAGGCCAGCAGCCAGACTGCCTGAGTCAGCCGATGGTGTCACCGGAACAATGATATTCCCAGTCTATCGCCGGTTTCGATCTGATAAGCCAAATCTTCTTCGCCTTCGCTGATCTTCTGCTTCCTTCGTTCTTTTCTTGTTAAACACCCCGCCAGACGCATTGCCGGTCGCTTCCTTTCCTACCGGCATTTTCTTGCGAAGGTCTGATCTAAAATTTCGTATCCAAACTCTCACCATTTTCGCCCCCCCACCGTTCATCGGCATTCTTAAAACCTCTTCTCCTCTCCCCCCACTACTACTTTACCGATTTCTCCCTCCCTCTTCCTCTCCCCCGCTAGGAACCCCACCCGACACCGACTCGACACCCTCCAGTATTCGCCATGTCGTCCCTCATTGAAGTCGACTCAGAGCTTCACCTGCACTCCATCGCCCAGTCTCTTCCTCGCTCCGCCCTGCTCGTCCTCTACTTCCACGCACCATGGGCCGCTCCCTGCGCGCAAATGCGCGCCGTCCTCTCCGCCCTCGCCTCCCAGTATCCGGCCACCTCCCCGCCCTCGATCGCCTTCGTCAGCGTCAACGCCGAAGAACTCCCTGATATCTCGGAAGAATACGACGTCACCGCCGTCCCTTTCGTCGTGCTCAGCCGTAACGCCACTGTCCTCGAATCCATCTCCGGCAGCGAAGCCGCCAAGGTACGCGACGCCGTCGAACGCCACGCCGGGTCCGCTGCTGCCGCCGGCGGTGCCTCTCAGGGCGCCGCCGCCGCTACCATCCCTCCGCCGCTGTCCGCCGTGCCGCGAGAGAACGGCCCCGCGACGGCGACTCAGCCGCCTGTCAACGCGAACGCCGCGGCCGCGGCCCCCGCGCTGACCCCCGAACAGTCCAAGGAGGCGCTGTTCGCTCGCCTCGCGGAGCTGGTTAAGGCCGCGCCGGTCATGCTTTTCATGAAGGGGACGCCCAGTGCGCCGCAGTGCGGGTTCAGTCGGCAGCTGGTGGGTATCCTGCGGGAGCGCAGCGTCAAGTACGGATTCTTCAATATTCTGGCGGACGAGGATGTGCGTCAGGGCTTGAAGGAGTTCGCGGAGTGGCCGACTTTCCCTCAGTTGTGGGTTAGTGGGGAGTTGGTCGGTGGATTGGATATTGTACGTCTTTTTTTCTTTTGTTTCCCCCTCCCTTGTTCCTCGTGTATTGCATTGACGCTAACTATTCATCTTTCATGTCCAGGTCAAGGAAGAACTGGAAAATGATCCCGACTTCTTGAACGCTTTCTCCGTGAACAAGGCCGCTTGAGCCTTTGTTCCTTTCTTTTCACTTCTTTCTTTTTATCCTTCATAGATTTCCAGGAACCATGGTATCGGTCCATTGGCATGTATACCAATCAATGTCTTTGGTCTATCGGCCTTGATTTACTATTATTTGATGCTGTGTGTTAGATTATAACTAGCGATGAGGAATGATTTCATTTTATCCTATATCATCTATCTTCTCACTCAGTGGATCGAACGTACGCTTTAAATGAGATTGGAGAACCCAAGAAATATAGCCATTGGCCGCTTGAAAAACACCAAAAAAAAAAGCACAAACAAAGCAATCTACATACATGTCGATATACATACCTGCACATATAAACATGCTCACCCCTCGCCGCTTTTTACTCACTAAATAGACCTAAACAGGCCCTCAGCAGCCTCCGGCGATTACTAAGTCTGAGATAAGCGGAAGACTGAATATCCTACACAGTAAATAAGTAACCATAATATACTATATTCTTATCTATTTCTCTACCTCTGTTTTGCTTTATTTATTATACTTCTTAAAAGATTGTCACCGGACGCTGTTGGGTTCGCAGCGGGCGAGCTCGCCCCAACGCAGTATGGCACGCGGGTTGACGTCACCTAGCTGAGATAGTATAGCTTCCTTAAATAGTTATTGCATCGTGCGTGTCCTTGCAGTGGAGACTAGACTAGGGCCAGCCTTTACTGGAAACCATCCATGGATCGTTTCACCTCCGGCATTTTCCCGTCGACGACAGCGTTAAGCTGTGGAGTTTCGAACCATTCTCGCCCCTCTATATCACCCATCTATGCAATAACAATCCAATTAGTTTCTATTCTGAACAATCTTTCAATCTATATGCGAAAGGGCCGGTACTATGTTCAGTGAAAAAAGGCCGCGAGATGAATTCATAATGTTTGCTCAGGAGTCCTCCTATTCCGAGGCTTGTTCCAGGTAACATCCGGAACGAAGAAGTCCTAACTCGGCCGAAGTTTAACAGACTTCCTCGTCTTCTTGTAGGTTTGTTCCCGGCGCCAGGCTTGGAAGGCGTAGGTGACGTTGATTGGGGTTGTGTTGTGCTTGCAAGACTGAGATAGGAGGCCGGTGATTTGACACTTCTCGGACAGGCCAGTGTTCTATCGCCGACGAGGTAGCGCTATGATAGCAATTGATCACTGCAGTACACCTTTCTTGTGGGTTGTCTCACACTCGTCTTCGAAAGATGTTTTATCTCGACATCTAATCCTAGATGGTAACTATTTCATTGCATCGTACGAGCTATCTTCCATCCGATAATACTATCAAGTATGGGCCTTGGTTCGTATCTGCGTCCCAGCAAATATTTCGATCAAGGTACCGATCCACACGTGGTAATGCACCGATAGTATACTTACACCCAAGTATGACCAAGGACACCAGATATACAAGACTCAAGTTGTCTTAACGTTCAAACCCGTACAATAGGAAACTGCTTATGCCCACGGTCAAACAGTGACTTCTCAACAACATCCACAGAGCTGTCTCCCTTCTTATTGATTTTGGCAGTCCACCAAGCCTTGAACTAGCCCTACTTCTTCCTACATGGGAGCCATTTACTCCAGAGACTCGCAATCTGTAGCCAAGCATTCATCTGGATCTAGATTGATCAAAAGTACTGTACATATACATTCAGCTCACGCCACTTTCCCCGCATATGCCCGATATTAAACTGAGAGCCTACGTCTCCACTGTGCGATAGTGCAAACATGCAGGCCAAGGACAGGGAACAGAATCCATTGCCACCATCATAGGTGGCCTAGCTTCCTCACTGTGTGTTCACATGCTACTGTTTTGCTGTATGAGGCGTTCAATCTAAGCGAGGCATTCAAGATGAAGACTGATTTATGATCGAAAATAAACAATATAGGTAAATCTCCGGAGGGTAGAGAGCTACAGTAATGTTAGGCCCGCTTTTGTTATCTAGTAACTTCTTGATAGTAATCTTGTAACTATCTTGAAACACGACACAAATGATGATACTATTCTAGGTTCGTCTTATACTCTGGCAGATACGAATTACTAAAAACTACGGATCATATAACTGCTAGGAATCGGGAGATTCCTGGCGAGATGTTCCATATGGAGGGATTTGTGACAAAGTGACCATGAACCACTATATACAGAGCGATGCGCGTACCAAGTTGGTGAATTGGTATTCTAGTCTTTTAGTAGTCTAATGGTTAAACGTTCCACGTTCCATATTAGACATAAAAAAAACAGAAGACAGTAGAAGTGCACCTACCATTGACTCCTACTGGCAAATTCAGGCCGAAAGGTTCCTAACATAGCGATAAGGGCTGTCCGGTTAACACGCTCCTCCAAGCGCTCACTGAGCCTTGACCGGTGATAAGAAATACTTAGTGAGTAATCCCCTGAGCGCCCTCACTAAGGCGGCCCTATCCAAACGGGGAAAGTGACATTAATTCTAGAAAATCGAGTCTTGTATAAGTACCTGTATATTGGCTTCTTTCCTCTCACATCGTATCTATAGACAAAATTCTCCATGATCGGGCCGTCACGACGCTTGTCTATCGCGAAGCCAACTCATTTAAGTTCCTCGTCGATCTCGTCACGCCCACCGAGGGATTGAGCTTCGGACAATTCCTCTGTAGACGGCAATCCAGCCCGTTCCATCTCACCCGTTGTTTGCTTTCCTTGGGCAAGGGGATATTCGTACCAACTGGCGGGGTACTTTCGGCTGAGGGTCCGGAATTTGGACAGGAGAGCGTCTTCGTCGACGTAGGTGCCGGCCAGCCAGCGACTGCCGCTGGTCAAGTCGAAGGGCCGCCGCGCATGGAGCACGCGGCGGTTCTCGAAGATGGCACACTCGCCGGGCTGCATTTTCCGTTCGAAAATGTTATCTTTGTCCTCCAACTGCCGGGTAAAGAAATGCAACGCGCGCAAGCTAGCCGAGGTAAACTGGTAATTTTTGAGCCTTAGAACTCGGCCCTGGAAGGGCGGGGAGTAGTTGACGTGCCGCAGGTCCATGTTTACGATCGAGGAAAACTCTCCGACTTCGAAGACGGGCCAGCGGTTGGTGTAGACGTCGTCCTCGTGGTTATACTCGTAGTTAAGCTTCAGCTTGGTAAGGGCTTCGAAAACCATTGGGTGCTGCTTGTGGAGCGTTTTCGCAACGCGGAAGGAGTCTAGGAACAGCGACTCGCCGCCGACGCTGGAGTTCTCGAGACAGTGCAGCAGCTGGTATCCGGGCGGGTTCTTCATGTACATCAGGTCCATGTGAAAGTCAAGGTTCTGATTTGTGTACGCGACGTTCTTGGCCTGAGGCACGGTACGCACATCCCAGGTCTGCCCGTAGAAGGTGTTCCGGAGCGGGCCCATCCTGGTCGCGATTTTCTCCACCTCGTCACGCGAGTCCGGGATGTTCTTAACGAATATTAGCCCCGTCAGGGCCAGGTGGCGCATGGCCTCCACAAACTTCTTGTCGCCGCGCATGTAGTCCTCGTAGTCGATCCAGTGCTGGGTATCCTCCATGCTGGACCGATCCCAGAGCACGCGCGGTCTGTTCGGTCCGGCGCTGCCTCCCATAGGGAGGGGAGATGGAAACTGCAAGTCTTTGAGGCTGTATTTTGAGACGTGCAATCCGTCGTGGCCCATAAAATCGTTTTTCCATTCGATTTCAAGAGAATCACCGTCCACGCGAATCGACCGCGGGCGCACGTGAATGCTGATATCGCTGGTCCGGAAGTTGCGCTGCTTGGAATAGGGATCCACACACTGAGAGCACCGGCACGCATCGCGGAGTAACGTGTACAGATAGTATTTTCTACCACCGAATTTTTTGGGTATTCCCAGCATCTTTCCGTTGGCGTAGACGCCCTCAGGAAGCGGTCCATCCAGGTCTAAGAGTGGTAAACCTTTGTCGCCCACGGATTCGAGAACTTTTCGGGGATCTATTCTGGGCTCATGCTGAGGCACGTGAGAAGTCTCGGACGCTGTTGAACTGAGAGCATCAGGGGCTGCCGACGTTGCAGAAGCTGTAGACGTTGCAGGATTGAGGACGTCAGGGCCTGCAGAGTAGCAGCGTCGTTGAAGCAGGCGAGACGAGGAGGCCACCGCTCGCGCCGAGCTAGTGAAAGCTCTTAGCAGGCGAACCATGGTATGTGGATGTTGAAATCGCGAAGAGGACGAAGAGAAGTGTCGATGAGTCGGACGTGAGGAGAAGTGGGCGCTTGTCTTGTACCTCGGTCGATCCGTCAGTGCGGAGATGGACTGGCGCCATGCCGCTTTAGTGACACTGACTGAGGTAATACCTCAGGCATCAAATGCCGGTTTCATTTCCGCTTTTTTTTTTTTTTTTTTTTTTTCCAGGAGAGATCGAGTTATCTAATAGATATGTCAGACACCATCTTCCTTGTTTCTCTGCAGACAGACAAGACAACCCAATTCTTTTAAACTTAAACAACGTTGCAAACATCCCTTCTGATCTCAATTCGCACCTCTTCCGTCCCCTGTCCGTTCGATGCTCACGCCTACTTGATCGTACGATCTCTACTTCCTCTTCCGCCCCCGGTTAACCCCGGATTTCCTACTCCCAACTCCCCTTCGTCATCTGTCACATGCATGTCGGCCGGGGGAGAACATCTGAAGGATGAGGTGAGTGCGCACACTTGACTCCCTACCTGACAGAGTATTGATTGCTTTGCTTGCGTCCGATCAATTGATCCCCTTGCTGGCGTTGGTGTGGCTGAGACTAAAGTTGTGTTTCTTATCAGGGCACCCGGCGACAGGTCGTCCTTGCCGGTGGCATAGCGGGTTTGGTTTCCAGGTGCGTACAAGATTTCCTTCATACCTGTCTGTCTATCTGTCCAGGGACATGGGCTTCGAGTTCAATATCTAACCCAAACGTGGTCTATCTCGATAGATTCTGCATCGCACCCCTCGATGTCGTCAAGATCCGCCTCCAATTGCAAATCCACTCCCTCTCCGACCCGACATCCCATCAGTATGTGAAAGGGCCGGTCTATAAGGGCACGTTGTCGACGATGCGGTCGATCGTGCGCCAGGAAGGCATCACCGTACGTCTCTCTTTGATCCACTAGTCGAGATCACCTCCTCCGCTACCCTCCAACAATCCTCAACCAGCTAAGGTACCTAGCTAACCACAAACCCCATCACAACAGGGCCTCTGGAAAGGCAACGTCCCCGCAGAGCTAATGTACGTATGTTACGGCGCCGCACAATTCACGACCTACCGCACAACCACGCAAGCCCTCTCCCAACTCCCCTACCGCCTACCTCCGCCCGCCGAGTCCTTCGTCGCGGGCGCCCTCGCCGGCGGAACCGCCACGGCAGCCACCTACCCCCTCGACCTCCTCCGGACGCGATTCGCAGCGCAAGGCCCCGAGCGCGTCTACCGGTCTCTACTGGGGTCAGTACGCGACATCGCGGCGCGGGAAGGACCGCGGGGCTTTTTCCGCGGGTGCAGTGCCGCGGTGGGCCAGATCGTGCCGTACATGGGACTGTTCTTCGCGACGTATGAGTCGTTGAGGCCGTCGTTGGCTGGACTGCATGATTTGCCGTTCGGGTCGGGGGATGCGGTCGCGGGCGTCGTGTCGAGTGTGTTGGCGAAGACGGGTGTTTTCCCGTTGGATCTGGTTAGGAAGAGGTTGCAGGTGCAAGGGCCGACGCGCTCGTTGTATGTGCATCGGAATATTCCCGAGTATCGGGGCGTGTTTAATACGATTGCCATGATCGTGCGGACGCAGGGCGTTCGCGGGCTCTATCGCGGATTGACCGTGAGCTTGTTCAAGGCGGCACCGGCCAGCGCGGTGACCATGTGGACGTACGAGGAGTCGCTGAAGCTACTGCAGAAGATGGATGCAGTGGCCGACGAGTAAAGTGCTTGCTCTCGTGTTGGAGTTTGTTGTACAGTATCTCATCTGGGCCGGCGCGTTTCCTGTTTATACGCTCTTAGACATATTACCAAGATCAATTAGAATAATTAAGCACATGTATTCTGATATTCTGGTTTTGTAAAGTACTCTGGATCGCCCGCGGGAATTTTTTTTCGAGATTATAGAACAACGCTAGTGAAGCAGCAACAGAGGGGGGTTATCGCGAGCAGAAAAAAAGAGGCAAGACATTATGGGTTATGGCACGAGAATTTAGACGAACCAAGAATCAAACCAAGCAAATCAATACCAGACGAAGGGCAAGCAGGCCATTAGTACTCCGGCTCCTCCGCCTCTGGCTCCAGACTATCATTGGCGACTTCCTCGTAGTCCTTCTCCAGAGCAGCCAAATCTTCGCGGGCCTCGGAGAACTCACCCTCCTCCATACCTTCACCCACATACCAGTGAACGAAAGCACGCTTGGAGTACATGAGATCGAACTTGTGGTCCAGGCGACCCCAGGCTTCGGCGATCGAAGTGGTGTTGGAAAGCATGCTGACGGAGCGCTCCACGGGGGCAAGCTCGCCGCCAGGGACGCGCACGGGTTTCTGATAGTTGATACCCAGCTTGAATCCAGTGGGGCACCATTCCACGAGGTTGAACGAAGACTTGGCCTTGAGCGAGGCGATGGCCTGAGTGCAGTCACGAGGCACCACGTCACCGCGGTACAGAAGAGCGACTGCCATGTACTTGCCGTTGCGAGGATCACAAACCACCATCTGATTGTTGGGTTCAAAGCCTAGAAATATTTAGTAGTTGTTCACGAGGCCGGATCGATAAAGTCTCCTTCTGGAAACGGGCAGTACGTACACTGGAAGGTGAGATCCTGGACTTTGAAGCTTTCATGAGAGCTACGGCTGCTTCCAACCACGGGCGCGTAAGAAATCAAAGGATAGTGAATACGAGGGAACGGCACCAAGTTAGTCTGGAACTCGGCCAGGTCGACGTTGAGGGCGCCGTCAAAGCGAAGACTAGATGTGATGGAGCTGACCACCTGGGCAATCAGACGGTTCAGATGCTCATAACCGGGGCGAGGGATATCCAGGTTGCGACGGCAGATGTCATAGACGGCTTCATTGTCCACCAAGAAAGTACAGTCGGAGTTCTCAATGGTGCTGTGAGTAGATAGAACGGCGTTGTATGGCTCGACGACAGCGGTGGACACGCGAGGAGAGGGATAAATGGCAAACTCCAGCTTCGATTTCTTGCCATAGTCAGTCGAAAGGCGCTCCAGTAGCAAGGCGCCAAATCCGGAGCCGGTACCGCCGCCGAAAGAATGGAAGACGAGGAAGCCCTGGAGAGAGGAGCAGTTGTCTGATCGTTGTTAGCAAGGCTTGTTAGTGGTTAAGACTTCCTCGTTTAGAGTCCTGGACGTACCGGCAACACGACGAATACGGTCAATCACGCTGTCAACGAGTTCCTTTCCGATAGTGTAGTGGCCACGGGCGTCTGCTATGAATGAGCACTATTGTTCTTTCAGGTCGGGAGAGTCTAGAGTTTAGACATACAGTTGTTGGCAGCATCCTCCTTGCCACTGATCAGCAATTCGGGATGGAAGAGCTGGCGATAACTACCGGTGCGGATTTCGTCGATCGGCTATGACGACGTTGTTAGCGATCATATAGCTGTAATCTGGGGCAGCGCCTTGCCGGGTGGTTGCATACCGAAGGGTCCAGATCCACGAAGATGGAGCGCGGAACGTATTTGCCGTTGTTGGTTTCAGTGAAGAATGTTTGGAAAGAGCCACCCTCGTTGACTTCTTCGGATCTCTCGGAGTCCAGACGACCGTCGGCCTTGAGACCATGCTCAAGGAGATACCTGGATTGATTAGGTTGGACCAAGTATTGATGGGTATTGATGGTTGCGGGGGAACGGGCGACGGAACAACGGTGACAACGTACAGCTCCCAAGCACTGTTACCAAGCTGAGTACCAGCCTGGCCAATGTGGATGTGACAGACCTAGATGTGGACGATAAAATGGATTAGAGAATACCACAAATTCCTCATGGATTAGATGAAACGAGGATGGAAAAGGCGCGTTATCGCAGCTTGGAGGGGAGGTGCGGGGGCAGTAGATCGGGTATATACCTCGCCACGCATGATGCCAAATTGGCGTCTGAGTCTGGGCTCGATGTGAGAAGCAGGGGTTTTTCAACGGGTGGAGTGGTTGATGAAGTATCGGAAGCCCAGGAGACGATGAAAGGGGAAAAGCTGAGGGCGAGAATGCGAGATGAGAAAGAGAGGAGGAAGAGAGGACGAGAGGGGAAGAGCAGATGAACGGTCGTTCCTGCCAGGCGGCAATAAACAGGCCACCCTCAGCCAATCATCGGTGCGCCTACTCCGGCCAGATACCCAAGTTTACTTCCCATGGTTCTTCGTAAAACACTTTATGTTGGCAGTAGTACTTTCCATATCTCCCCGTCGACTCATCTCTACGATCTTCTTTGATTTGACTATGGAGCATCCGCCCGCCACGTGCAACTGCCGTGGAATGCGGGGCGCCCGGCGACGGTATACGGAGTCACGGACACAGACCCTCCCTGATCAATCGGACCTCATAATCATGGTTCGACAATATATCGGCGATCATCAATCATATAATTGAATACATTAATATATTAGGCTCCGTAAACAGGCGGGGAAGACCGTCCGGAGAGCGGTGGTTCCAAGCGAACGAAGATCAGCAAGAACTAGTCTATATCAAACAAGCGAAGACGCTCCGTCCACCAAGAGCGTTGATTCCAAAGTACTCCGTATACTACGCACTGTTCAGAATATGCAGGAGGCCAACGACGATCAACCTGGGGAACTAGGTGTACGAGTGCGGATGCACTGTGTCTGACTGTGTACGGTGTACGTCGAGCGATCATCATGTCTGAGACGTTCGTAAATGATACCATAAGTAACAGGCTTGTCTGAGCTTATGATTCCCAGGTCAGTCTCAGACTCCCCAATGCGACTGGGCGGGGCAACCACGTCAATGCCGCGGTGCTCCAATGAGTCCCGCAGCGGTGGAACGATGATGTCGAGGCAAGTCAGACAGGTCGATCGCATTCGATCACTGGCTATCAGTACTTTCAGTAGCGAGGGCAAACGGGGTTGTTTCCTGTTGGTTGATTGGTCGTATCTTTGATTCTCTGCACACCGTAGTCTGGGACTCTTCGTAGACCAACTGAATGGCGCACCAAAAACCCAAAAAGGACCCGCGAATTGGTGCAAGCCCGAGACACAGACTATTGAAGGTGGTAGATCCAGCAACTTGGACCAAGGAGGAAGGTCGAATCAATCAATAATGGTAATAATAAAAGATCTCAAGGCGACGAACGGGCGCCGATCATAAGACGTGGTGCATATCCGACATAATCTGCATAATCCGGGCACGGGCATTCTATGACGGTTAATATACTAATTAATATCTCGGCCGTCCCAAAGGAAGCTATGCCCTGTAGTGATTGCGGCTTATCTTGGCAGGATGCAAAGTAATTTGGGGCGGATTCTGTTCTCGAGCAGAAACCTGAAAGTCGACGATGTTTCACATTGATTTGGCCGGGAGGGCGAAAAAAGGGGAGAAAAGAGTACGGGAGAAGTGGTGCCTGAGGTGGCGTTTCTTGGCGGTGGCCAATTTCTCGTCGGGCGTTTCGCCTCTTTTTGACTTACCACAAGATATCCAATATTCACTGACTACTGCTGGCCCGGAGTTTACTTTCCACCTTAATTCCGGGTACCTGACTTCTATAGTTACACCGGAATTGAGCACAAAATAAGACTCTCAAATTAGTAGTTGAAAGTTCCGCGGAGACTACCGTACTAACGGAGTGTACCAAGGTCACGGGCGAGACCCGCGCTGTCGACGTACGCAAGGTTCCCTCTTTCCCCTCCTTCTTTCTGCCTCGGACAATACTGAGTATTCCCCCCCGGTCTCGGTTCCATTGTTCCAGACATGGATTCGCACTGTCACCATCCATCAACATCTGCCAACTGGGAGATCTGATCATGATCATTGGTTCACATCTGGCTTACCCAGCTCGCGCAACTGGGTCTTTGACTTTTCATGGCCCCGTTTGGACCACTTGTAGGGACCACTTAGGGGCTCCTTTGGCTCTTAGCCATTAGGCTAGACCCCCGTGAGGAGACCATTCCTTGCCTGGTGTGTCGGACTGTCGCTGTATGTGCTTCGGTTAGCCCTGACTCGCGATCAAATGGGCAAAGGAATCGTCCTTGTCTCTCTGCCATCCCGGTCACCATGATTGTGATTCCATCCCGGTAGAGGGAGCGATCGTCGCGAACGCCGGTCGACCCCGAGAGCCAGCTTTCTCTCGACCTGGAAGGAGTACACTGTGGTCAATGGATGGGGAGGCTAGGAGCGTTCTTAGAGGTTCTCCCAACGGTCTGGACTGACGAAATCTCTCGATTCTCCACCGGTCCATATTCCCGTGCGATCGGCATCTTCCCGCATCGACTTCGCTCCTCCTTCTGGCTTCTATTGTTGGTGCTCAAATCCTGCTCCAATTTTTCTTTCCTTTTTTTTTTTTTTTTTTCCTCCCTTCCCTCTCTTTCTCTTTCTTTTTTCTTTTTTCATCTGTTTTAATGGCCTGCCACTCTCGCTCTCCCTCCTTTGTCGTTCTTGGATCGCATCTCTTCTCTCCTCCCTCATCTTTCGCATCCCATCAAAATCTGTCGAGCCCTACCATCTTGTTCGTCACTTTAATTTCCACACTCTCCTCATTCATACACGCTATCTCGCAGATTAAGCCGCCCTGGTGTACCCCCTTGATAAACTAGACTCGATATCGGTTAACCCGTTCCCCACCCTGTGTTGGTCTGTCTTCCTGCCCTTGTTGGCGTCTGAGACTAGCTAGCTACACAACGGCCTAGGGGAAAGTTGATTTCTATAGAATTCCGGCCTTCTCCTCCCTCCCGCGTTCTTCCTCTCTCTTCCTGCTATTGCTACACTCGCTTAACTTCAGTCTTTTACATTTATTCTATACCTTTTTCTTTTTCTTTTTTTAAAGCCTCCATTTTCATTCGTTCTAGTTTTTTAATACCCTCGGGCTCTGACATTCATCCCAGCCATTCTCTCTTTTGAATTGTATCTTACTAATTCTCCGTCGATCTTTTATTCCGCGCTGTCTGGCCTGGTGCCAGCATGTCAACCCCCGTGGAGGAGATTCCGGCTCCTAAATATTCCGAAGAGAAGAGAAAGGACAAGACCGGCGACAACCAACCTTCCGATGATGGCACCTACGTCAACGAGCCGTCGAATGAGGGCCAAGGGAGCCATCTCCGTGTGAATACCACTCACGATGATCTTGATATCACTGCATTGCGGTCTCCCTCGGCCTCGAGGGAGCAAGCCATGCGTCTTGAAGATGATCTAGCGGTTCTGGAAGCAGAGCGCGTGGCATCTCGCTCGACTCGAGACGAGACAAACGAGAAAGAGAACGGACTGGAAAATGGCGAGACCAACTCCATTTCGCGAACTCGGTCGCGTCGCTCGCAAAACGTGGACGAATTCGACGAGGCAACCAACCCATTGCACGAGAAAGCCGCCGTTTACAATCCGCCGGAAAACCCCAACACCAGCTTTGCCAAATTCATCAAGAAAATCCATGAATCCAGCTTTATCGTTCGATATCTTACGTACATCGTGCCTCTGGTCGTCATTCTGCTCATTCCCTTGTTGGTCGGTGCCCTGGCTTTTCCCGATGCCAATGTGGGAGGCGTTCAGCTGCTTTGGTTCTCCGTCTGGTTGGAAATTGTTTGGTTGACATTGTGGGCCGGAAGAGTACGTATATCCCCTGTATTCGGACACCCATTTGCATATAATTAATCGGTTTCTACCTAAAGATTGTAGCCAAACTTCTTCCTATCCCCATAGGAATCCTCGCGAGTGTGTTCACCAACAATGCAAAGAAATGGCGCGATTTGGCGAAGCAATTGGAGCTTCACGCCACTCTGTTCTTCTGGTGGCTCGGAGTGGAAATCTCTTTCCTACCTACTATGAAAAGTCATCACGTTGATGGCGACAAGAGGACCCGGAGCTGGGAGAAAACTGTCAACACTATCATCATTGCAATCTTCGTTTTCGTCATTCTGAATCTCATCGAGAAGTTCATCATCCAACTGATTGCGATCAGCTTCCACACGCGGACCTACGCCGATCGCATTGAAATCAACAAGTTCCAGATTGGCAGTTTGACCAAACTGTACGATTTCTCCCGGACCAAGCTTGCGAACGAGGACGACGATTTCGACAACGGACAGGAAAAGGAGAACACCGGAATCAAGACTCCCTTGCAATTCGCGGGCATGGCCCAGCGAGCTGCCAAGGGTGCTTTGAACAAGGTGGGCGACGTGGCGGGCGCAGTGGCGGCGGATTTCACCGGACGCAAAGCCACCAACAGCACGCACCCCTATCAGGTCGTGTTGACCCTGCTGCGGACCACAACCGGCTGCCAGGTTCTCGCGCGCCGTCTGTACCGCACCTTCGTGCGCAATGGATTCGACACGGTTTTCTCGGGTGACTTGAAGGAGGCCTTCGACAACAATGACGAGGCCGATGCTGCTTTCATCATGTTTGACAAGGACATGAACGGCGATATCTCCATGGATGAGTTGGAGGCAGTCTGTGTCGAAATTGGACGTGAGCGCAAGTCTATCACTGCGTCTCTGAAGGATCTTGACTCGGTGGTATCGAGGCTGGATAATGTCCTCGAGTTCTTCGTGGTCGTGATTGCCATCATCGTTTTCCTTTCCCTCATTTCAACCTCCGCCGCCGGTGTGCTCACATCTGCGGGCTCCACTGTCCTTGCTTTGTCGTGGCTCTTCTCCGCCACTGCCCAGGAATTCCTTCAATCGGTCGTCTTCGTTTTCGTCAAGCACCCATTCGATGTTGGTGATCGTGTCACGATTTATGGTAACGCCGGTGATGCCGGTCTGGGTGACGACTACTTTGTCAAGCAAATCTCCCTCCTATACACCGAGTTCAAGAAGATGCAGGGTCACATCGTCCAGGCGCCCAACAGTTACCTTAACGGTCTTTTCATTCTCAACCAGCGCCGATCGGGAGCTCTCGCCGAGGCAATCCCCATTGTCATCAAGTACGGCACAACCCTTGAACAGATCGATGCCCTCCGCCAGCGCCTTCTCGAATTCGTCCGGAGTGAACGCCGCGAGTTCCAAACCAACATTCTTACCGAAATGCGTCAAGTGACCGAGAATTTCTCCGTGACCCTCAACGTTGTCTTCTTCTACAAGTCCAACTGGCAGAACGAAGGTCTCCGTCTGCAACGTCGCAACAAGTTCATCTGCATGCTCATGATTGCCTTGCAGGAGATTGGCATCGAGGGCCCTCGCATGAACCTCCAGGGTGCCCGGGTCGACATTCCTCTCCATGTCACCGGTCTGGGCAACCAGATGGCTTCCGGCAACGACGGTCGCCCTCCGCCTACGCCTTTGAGCGAACGAGGAGACGTCAGCGAGAACTCACCCTACAGCTCCGGTGCCTTGCGCCATCCGTCGATCCTCCGCAAAGGCGCTGCCACCGCTGCTGCCCGAGCCCGTGGCGACACCATGCAGTCCCGCAAGCATGTCGACTTCTCGCTGGGTATGCGCGACGTCTCCTCGGGCGACGTGATGGGTGACGTCTTCGAAGACCGCACCCAGCGAGTTGACGACGTTGTCCGTTTCGCCAACCGGGAGAATGCCGAGCGCCGTATCCAGGAAGAAGAGGAAGAAGAGACCGAGCGTCGTAGCCGCACCTCGTCCTCTCGCTCGCGACCTCGTGGCAACTCCAACCTCAGCGTTCCCTCCAACCACGAAGGCCGCCGGTCGACCGAATCGCAGGGCGGACACAGCATCGCTTCATCCATCAGCCGCAACCGTTTCTTCCGCCACCGCAACAGCCTTAACAGCCGTGAGCACGAAGACCTCGCTGAACAGGGACGATTCGAGCAAAACGACGCCTTGACTCAGATCCGCACGGCCTCGCCCTCCGGCAGGAGCCGCCATTCGGAGCAACAGCTACGGTAGAAAAATGACGATTCCCAAAACAGCCACAAGAAACATAGAAAACCTTTCAACATCGACTACATAAAACCTACACTCTCTCAATACATAGACAGATACTTCACAGATACCTGATTTGATGCTCCAGCCTATCATTCATGTTACATTTTGTTTTCCAAGTACATACATACTACATACCAATGGGCGGCATTGTTTGATTGATTTTGTTTTACTTCATTTCAAGTTCTACAGATACATTTACCTCCATACAACTAATCGCCTTCCCAATGGTTTTGATCTCTCCATCTGATGTTTCTATTTCCCACTTTTTAGCTCTCGGCTCTTCTATTTCGGCCCGTGTGTACTTTCCATGTAAGTACGGAGTTAGACATTTCGTCATCATCAGGATTCCCAAATTTGTGTCTTTCGTCGGAGACTCGGATTCTCGGATGTGATGTGATGTAATAATGGTTTCATTATTAGATTTTGGTCTACTGACAGACTAACTAACTAGCCTCGTTCTAAGCGGTGATTCCGAGATCAACTAATGAAAGTCAAATTCCGCCGTCTTTGATTTCATATGCACACCGTACAGGATAGTACATATCCTTCGAGTTGTATTAGCTAAGTAGCCTTGCACCTACGGAGTAGATTGCTTTACATCATGGCATGTCATATCATATTCTCGTATTGTACAAATCCTAGGAAGTACTGTAGTTACAGGACATGGATTCCTGTTTCGGGGAAAAAAAAAACCTGGATAATGTGACAGAAAAGGAAGAGGAAGAAGAAACAAGTCGGGAGTTCCGTAACTAACTTAGTTTAGTTATCCTTAGATAAATAGAAGAGAAATCAACCAGAACTTGACTGTGTAAAGCTCTCTCGAGAACAAATTAGAAGCTTGCTTCTTTTTTATTCGTTTGGAGAAAGAGAAAATAGAAAAGGAACTGGGAATAATCAATTCGAATAAAGTCCTGCTTTTTCCCTCAATGTTCATTTTTTTTGTGGGTTTTTTTCTTTCAGATTTCAATCATCTCGTACATACATGGAGAGATGGATAGAGAAAAACCAAACAATCAATCAATCAGTCAATTCTATCCATCCCTTGTTGAGTTGAGGAATAGAACAGAAAAAGAGACGAAGAACAAAAGGTTTGGTTGAGATTGAACACAAAAGAAAAAAAAATTGTCTGAGAGGAAAAGGAAAGCAAAAGAATGAAAAGCTCAAAAAGCGCAAGAACTCAAACGACCTGGTTGAGATGATGGATGATAACAAATGTTCATGTCATTTCACACCCAAACGCCCGCTTAGTTGAACAATACCTTAAAAAAAAGAAGAAAGAATTTCAGAATGAGGGAAGAGCAAAACGCGGAGATATTTTGACAGAATGCAATATTGCATACAGAGTTGGAAAGGAGAAGAAAATCAATCGATCTGTCACTGATACAAAAAATGCAAAGATGCGTGGGGTTTATCAACCGGCAAGGTGGAGGAGAGGGAGAAGATACAAGAAGTGTTTCCATAGAGAAAATGCAAATCAACTCAAGTCTTCATATCATATCAAAGACAGCAAGCAACAACACTCTATGTCTCTCTTTGACTTTTGTTCTCTTGCTTTTGTTTTGTTTTCCGTTTTCCTTTTTCAAGCAAGTTTTGAAATAAAAGTCCCGTCACCGGTGGCCGGCTCTATCGTCCCGACTGACGTGGCGTGGTATCATCAGCTAAACCAAGCGAAGGCGTGTGTATTGGCCGAGGCGTAGCTTCAGATTCGGGAGTTTGGATAACTTCACTATCGGTGCTCATGTCCGCGTCGCCGTAATCTTTGACCTTGACGGATGGCGTGTTGGGGTCAGTTGGCGTCGTCTCCAAGTCCTCGTCAATTTTGTTGAACACGATTGGAGGTGTGATTTGCCCTTTGTGAGGGGTTTCTGTGCTTGCTTTCGCTCCAGACTCGCATCCAGTGGGCGTCTCTTTGTCATCGGGAGGTTGAGGAGAATGTCGCGGACTAAAATCCTCGTCGGTTGACCCAACGACAGCTTCTTCGGGAACTTGGAGCCCTTCGAATCGTTCCTCTATTCTGATGCTACGAGGCGACGACCCGAGTTGATCACCGCTAACCCCCAAACCCACGCTTCTGGCTCTCTCGAGAGCCTCTCTTTCTTTCTTGAGCACCTCTTCGCTGCCACTGACCACACTTCCTCGGCTATTGGTTCTCATCATCTCAATCCCCAATTTGGAGCCGGGACGATGAGACCGGTGTCGAGGACTTTGCGCCCGTGCCTGGGCAGCACCAAACTCCTCGTCCTCATCATCGCCAGATTCTGCACATTCATGACGCTTTTTCTCCAAGGACTCTCTTTTGGCCCGAATGGCTTCACTGGACCGCCGTTTGCGGGGAGCGTCCGCGGTAGGAGGATTCATTTCAGCCGGGGCGGAGACCGCATGTATTAAGTGCGGTATAGGTTCAGAATTCGAGTCAGTCTTGGCGGTCGTCGGGTCGGCAGTCTTCTGGCTCGCAGCTGTTTCTTCGGAAATGCCTAGTCCGCCTTGGTTGGCGGCCCATTCATCGGTCTGACGACTTGAGGTCACTGGAGCATCCTCGGCCTTAACAGATTCCACATCGCCAAAGGAACTGCTGCCAATGGAGTCCTGGCGACTAGATCCTCGATACGAGCTTGAGAGTACCGGCATGAAGCTAGACGACGTGGTCGAGCTAGGGCTATGCTCAGTCGGTGCAGCAGAATGACGTAACAAGGACTGCGAAATAGGCAAGGGTTGCGAGGGGGTCCAGTCCTTGGGTGGAGGTTTCCACTGGCAGAATCTACACAGCAATTCCGTGAACTTGGTCAAAGTCGGTGGTTTCTCGATGAGAGTGTCAAAGTGATGCGTCTCGGGCAGGTCCTTGAGATAACCGGTGACTGCAATGATGGGCGTATGGCGGTTGGCGCTTCGCGTCTCCCGGACCATACGTGCCACATCTGCCCCATTTACCTGAGGTAGCTTGTACTCCGTTAATATGATATCGAACCGGACTTCACTTAGTGCGTAACGCATGGCCTCTGCGCCGTTGGGAGCCGTAATGGTACGGCAGCGGAGCTTCTCAAACAGACGTTCCATCACCAATCTCGAAACCGGATGATCCTCGCAGATGAGCACGTCCAGCGGCCGGAAGTAAGGCTTTTCAGGTATGTTGATTTGGGAAAGGCGACGGGAGCTCTGACGCTGCCGTTGCACTTTGAGCAGCGCCTTGGTGCGTGGATCCTCGTTATCTGAGGAGGACGGCGAAACATCGACAAGTTGGCTATGGCGCTTGTAGTGGCCCGCGACGTACGATTCCTTTGCCAGAGAAGACGACAAATCCCCATCCTGCGAACCGATAGTCTGCGATCGTGCTCTTCCGATAGGAACGCTGCCTTGACGGGTAGGGCCGGAGGGCGTCTTGTCGGGAGAATGGGCAGTGGTTCTGGTGGGTTTGATCGGGGACGACGCCGTGGAGCTGAATTTCAGACTTGCCATACGGTTTTGATCCGGTGCACCAGGTTGGAAAGACCCGCTAGATTGGTGGGAGTTAGCCGAAGAGGACCCCGACGTCTTTCTCCGTTCGTGGTTATGATGGCCGGTGCTGAACTGCACCAGGAGCGGAGACGAAGGCTGTGAGGGACGGCTAGGAGACGAGTTCGCCTGACTCAGACTGGAAGGTGACGACGGCCGGTTGTTGCCCTTATTGTGCGACAGCGTTCGCTGCAGCGACATAGGCAAAGGACTGCCCTCCAAAGAAGGTCCGGATGACGATAGTGCGGGCGGCGGTGGAGGCGGCGGGCCCTGTGCCTGGCCGGGTGCTGGTGCTGGTGCTGGTGCTTGGACGGGGGTCTGCGGCGGATTTTGGGTCTGGGTCTGCTGCGGTGCGCCCGAAGGTGTAACGTGACGTTGCTGGGCTTGCATTGCCTCCTGACGCAGTTTCTGGATCACATCTTTATTGGCCTTTTCCAACATGGGTAAGTTCTTGAAGGCGAAATTGCCAAAATCGTCGGCCAACGTGGGTTCACTGAGTCGTCGACTACGTGATTCGCGCACATGGGGCGGGATGTGTAGAGGCATAAGAGGTCGTTTTACGGAATTCACCTGCGAGCGAACTTTGAAGAGCGCATCGTGGGGCCTGTCGAGATAGGGTCCGGTTGTAGCCGGCTGCTGGGGAGAACTGCCGTCCTCAACCTCCTCAGTAAAGGCCTGGAGGGTAGCTCCGCGGGCATCGAAGTACTCGGTGTCTTCAGGATTCTCCAGGTTTGGGACGAACTGTGCCTTGTCGTCGAGGAGCGTATCCCAGTTGATATCCGAGAACCACGGGTGGCTCCGAATTTCTGCGCCTCCGTTGGGATACTTTTCATCGACGTTCGCCCCAATTCGCTCACGCGGATTGATCGTCATCAGCTTGTTCATAAGATCAACAGATTCTGGCGTTGCCAGTTCTTCAATATCCTCGGGCCAGTTGATCCTGCGGTGGAGAATATTGTCGAATACTTCGTCCGGGGTGTCTGCATTGAAGGGTGGGTATCCAAACAGGAACTCGAACATCATGCAGCCCAAAGACCACCAATCGCTCATCTCGTCCTGGCCCACGCCGTTGATCGTCTCCGGCGCCAGATAATCGGGGGTGCCGACAAAGCGTCGGTTATGATCTTCGGGGTCGAAGAGCGCCATCAGCGGCGGCATCATGCCCGGCTGCGGGGGTGTCTCGTGCGAAGCCGGGATGCTGTGAGCCAAATGCATCGGGTACAGTTGGGGCGATTCGCCCAGCTCGCTCTGGCCCTCTTCCTCCGTTACACTGCTGGAAGAATGGCCGGGGACGGGAACCGGCAGAGAACTTGCCGTCTCGCTGCCTTCGTTGAGCGATAACGATTGGAAAATGGCGTTCAAATTGTCGCTGCCCCCGCTGTCACTGCGGTAGCCGGACGCTCGGCGCGAGGTCTGTCGACTGAGGCCGCCGCCTTGGTTGAGGTTGAAGTAGGAAGGCTGGGGAATGCTGC